TCTTCTTCTTCTCCAAACAGTGACCTCTGACCTGACCAATGACACGATTTGTTGACGTCTGTCACCATGATGACTGGTGTTGGGTTACATAATGTTGCAATTTCATGGTCTGCTCTGCTCCATGTACTAGTAGTACATGTATGTGAATGTGTTTGAGTAAGAATTAACAGAGAAGACCATGTCCGAAGGTAAACATTATGAATTTGCTTTGCAAATGTTACTTCTCTAGTTTGTATTTATGTTTACCTTCGCAGAAGCTTAAACATATCGTTTTTGCTTAATTTGTTCTTCTTCCTCTTTCTTCTTCTCCAAACGAGTAAGGTCATAGACCTCGACGAGACGTCTGTCACCATGGTAACTGGTACTGTAGCAGACACCCTGTACAGCTGTAGTGTTGGATTACATTATGTAGCAAGACAGAGAGTTGGAGGGGCTGGTCACCATTTGTTATATGAATGTGTTTGAGTAACAGTAAAAAAGAGCAGTAGTTTGTTGGGCTAGAACATGTGAAGGTAAACATCATGTATTTGATTTTCGCAAATGTTACCTTTCTATTTTCATTTTAGCTTTATTTCCATGTTTATTGATCTAAAATGACCCTGCATACGCAGACCATAGAAACGGCTGGTATATCAATGGTCTATTTGCGTCAACAGTGTCCCAACAGTGGCATAGCGGTAGATCATTCGACTGTGAACCGGGAGACCCGGGTTCGATCCCGAGTCGTACCCGGAACATGTCTGAACATGCGCCCCGACGTTGTGTTGGGAAAGGCACTTTGCACCAATTTCTTCACTCCACCCAGGTGTGAATGGGTACCTAACTTCGGTTGGGGAAAGCCGTATTGAGGTCACCTTGTGGCGCCGAATGGCAGCCGCACAGACCCTTGCGGCAGTTCCACAAAAATGTGGAACAAAATCATTATTAATATGTATCATGACATTGTGTACTATGTGAATTAATATGTGTATTATGTGTGTCATCTGACTGTAAACCCTGCATCAATTCAGCACTATAAGGCTGCGATTGCACGGGTGATATTTGGCCAATAAACCATTTATTATCATCATCATCATCATCAAAGATGGCAGCCCAAAGGCTGAAATGATATCGGGACTTTACAGCAGGTTAACAAAATACCTTAGAACAGCATAAATCTTGAAACTGTTTTTATGATTATTGAATTTCAATGAAAATAATTGGTAATGTTTGTATCATTGCTTTGTATGCAAATTTTAAAAACTACTTGTACATTCAACAAAATTCAAACTGATTATAATACGATACGTAAGTCTGCTGGTTGATTCATTTATTCATTCATTCAGTCATTCATTCATTCATTCATTCATTCATTCAAGTGATTCATTCGAGAAGAGAAAATAATGGCTCCTTCCGAGTAATAATTTCTCGATTAGTAAAAAGAATTTGATTTATTGAATGCTTTATATTAGGCTGTTAACATGTATGCACTACTTATAATTGACAGGATTGTTTAAAAATAATTTTATCTGCTAAAAATTCGTGGAAAAGGTTCATAATTATTCTTTATTCCTTATTCGAAACAGCGGTCAGCATAGCAGCAGTACACAAAAATTATGGACCGCTGAATTGTGCTGATCTTACATAGTACATAAAAGCACAACGTAGGTACAGACAGAACATACAGATTCACGTCAATTACAATATGTACAATATATATAAATTGTATAAATTAATAGGGAAAACATTATGTACGCTACCAAAACTCCACAAAGTTTAGAGAAAAAGTAAGTTTCTAACAGCTTGGTTGAGGTTGTTTCCAAGATGCCTTACCGGTCATGCTCCCTTTTACTGTGCCTAGGAAAGCAGGGTCGCCCTTACAGGTGAATACATGATCATTACCAGTGGTTTGGTGCATTTACACATCCTGCCGTGCGCTTTTTATAGCTCTGGTGGCACTGTGTGCCAAATTATACCCTAATGCCTTCCTACATGTACATGCATTTTTCGAGTTGTCATTTAGGCCATGTTGATTTGATTATATGGATGACATCCGCGCGCGTTTGAATTTTCGGCCGTTTCCCCCCAAAAAAAATCAACCATACTGTAAATCGTACAAAACAGTTGCAAAAAAATAGCAAATATATACCGCAGACTCCTAATAAAATCCGATAGGGCGGAAAAGAACAAAGCGTGCCAAAAAAATAGAGTCCTCCATTTTCAAATTTTGACATCATAAACCCTGTTAAACCCTGTTATACCTATATTGTGCTAATTTTACTGCCAACTATTACAACAACCTTTTCTCACCGAAAAAAACTTTCGAAAATAAAAGTTTTCAATCATTGTACAAATGGTTTTGATTCAGTGGGAACATCACATATACGCAGCCACCATCACATATAAAAGGAATGAAATGCATCACTGCATCAAAGTAAAAGACAAAAAAAATCCTCTCTTCTTTATATTTTTCTGTCACCCACGTTCCGGCATTGCAATCTTTGCCAATTTTCGGCACTTTGACCACTGTAAGAGGACAACAAATTTCTTGTTTTTTTTATCAGGCGAAAATTAAGCGCGTTGTGTCATCGATTAAAAAAAACTTGCTGTGACCTGAAGGAAGAAAGCGAAGTTCCAAAGAACAGGGTTGACGGCCACTTCAGCACCAAGGACATGGAAACTGCCCACACGTCAGGGACAGGCACAAGAGGAAACAAATAATAAGAACATTCGTGTTTTGTAAAACAAGCACTCTGTACAAGCCTGGGATGATCTGCAACAGCTGTGGCAGATGTCAAGCACATGTGACGCTTCTTACAGTTTCAGTTTATTGAGATACCCTTTAGCCCATTATAGGCTATTCTTCCAGGGTTCCAATACAAATACATGTAACATCACAATTACAGACACAATCCTACATATTTACACTTAACTTGCAGCTTAAAACATTTAAAAACAGAGGAGTTACACGTCGCATAAAAAACCTTAACTGTTTACATGGCAATCGTTAAAAAAACATATGAATTCTACCTTGAAGATAACTGTCTGACTTTTACTTACATAGATCTTTCCTTTTAAATCATATCAAAGAGAAGTTCCCATACTTCCAACACCTAAGTGCAAATAAAAGATTTATATTTTTGATGCGTGTAGACAAACCCTGTATCACAAACATGATCTGTTCCCACATTTTCCATTGTACAAAAAAGCGAGAAGAAGTTGAACACTCTGTCTCTAGATCAGTAACTAGAACACTTTGTATTAGCCTAGTATAGTACCCTTGTATGTTCCTTATGTATGTTTTCTACACACGTTTGTTATGTGTCTGTTAAGTCTTGACCTGTACCTAGCTAATATACCCCGTCGTGGCATGAATGTACAATAAAGGTATTTCATTTCATTTCATCAACATGTTTGTTGTTTTGCAACAAGAGGCGGGAACTGCGCTTCAAAGCGTGATCTTGTTAACGCCTTATTTGCATGCAGTGCTCACGCTTGCTGTCACCATCAGTTCTTGTCATTTCTTATTTATCATTAGGCCATACCGATTTAATTCTATGGATGACATCAACGCGCGCATTAATTTTCGTCTGATTTTGGAAAAAAAATTGTTTCGTCCTCGGACGGTGGTCAACATGCCGAAAATAGGGAAATCGGTTGGCGGCCTAGGCTTATGGGAAGGTAGTATTCTATACATATGACTGTAACTTTTGATAGCTTGGTCGCACCGCGGCAGTTTCACACAGTTTTAGTTGCACATGAAACGCATTGAATAAAGGGTACTTCAGTTTTTCTTCACCTGGATTTTTGGTTGAAAATACACATTTTGGCTAAAAAATAGCCGTTTATTTCAGTTAATTTACGCGTAGGCGGTAATATATAACACCTTCCATCGTTATATTCTCCAAGATGAGAGCCAAGCCCACACGGGTTATTTCTCTCCGTTGTTAATGCCCATCGGTTCGGAGACCACCAGGGATCCAGCAAACTTGAGACACAACGGTTCGCGTTTGGTCTCAAATGTTGACACTGGAAGGAATCTCATTGAATCTCAGCTAGCACTAAGTAGCTAAATGCTCAGCTTTTTTTTAGCCTTCCATGTTTATACATATAAGCTGTGTACGAGGTTATTTTCAAGGAAGCGCCCACGACATGGCATTATATCAAGGCGACAAAACACTTACGCAAGCTTACGGGGAAGCCACGAACACTATTTGCTTAACACCCACTATTTGCTTCTCATATACCGTTTCTATAATCTTTCCTTTTACCAAGAAACAACACCTACATGAGCAAGACTTTGTCGACACGTCTTCAACGGTATCTATTACTCGAACGTTGCAGTGTCAGATTTAAAAGGCGGATCTTCAATGGGTATAAGCTCTTCCACATGGGCGACAAATATTGCCGGCTTACTCGATGTAAATTTACCTCCTTCGCTTGCACGTCAATTATTATTCCTCATCCCTTTGGACGAGTTGATGGTATTGAGTTAAGTGTATGTATGTGAAGATAGTACTTAAGGTAAGTCTACCGGATCATTCCTATTCATCTACGAGGATCAGAGCCCCGTGTTAAGGTGATCAAACCCGGTTATCTGTGAGTGCAGTGGTTGAATCCTCACAAAATTCCATCTTGGCTGTCGTTTATTCGCCGAGATCGTGCATGGTTAAGCACGTATTGCGTCAAATCTAAACACAAAATCAGATTTCTGTAAAATACACGGTGCATTTGGCAGGCGAACAAAAGCGGATTGGCTGCTACGCTGTATCTTATGATGGTATAAATGTCTTCGCAGGTAGCTCAGGGTGGTGCAGCGTTGCTTTCAAAAGCTTGGGCGCGCGCAGCTTCCTTTGAAGGCTTCAGTAACAATGCTAGAGTCCCCTGCTACATCTATGGATCTGCATGAAAATAACTCCTTGCATTCGCACCTATGTCACATTCATCATATATAAAAATGACAAGAGCATATAACATAACGAGCCAAGAAATAAGTAAGGATACGTAGAACTGATACGAACCAAATCTCGTCTTATCATCTCTACAGATGGCGATGTTTTTCTCCACACACACTGCGAAGCCTTGCCGCGGTGTCAAGATCTCCTTCGTTGTGTTTCCAATCTCTTTAAGATCACGATTACGACTTCCTAGGCACACTTCCGTGTACGTGCAATGATTGAACGTCTACGGGAGAAGAAATGAGCACTCACACATAGTCCCTAGAGGCTTGTTTGAAGCACACAGAGCCGGCTTGGTAGTGAAGACAGCAGCGCTACAGCTCGCGCCTGTGTGCAACAGGCAAGGCCCGCGCACACTGCTGCCTGATGTACGGTTACCATGGTGATGCCAGATGGCGCTAAACTCGCCGTCACGACTTGGTGACGTCATTGGTATAGTCAGGTAGGCAGCACAGCTGACGGTACAGGGCTCGAAATTCATTTTTGGGAACAGGTGCACAGGTACCGTTGCACCCAACTTAAAAAATCGGGCGCACAAAAAATTTCTTGCGTGTACCATATAATATTATAAGATAAGTAGAATATCAGCAAAAACTAATTTCAATTTTCAAAAAAAGGACTAAAATTATAATATTTTTCTACCACTTCGATGTTAAAAATATGATGTATATTACTATATATGTTTGACATGTTCATTAATTACATACGTAAACCTCTGAATATATTTGGGTGAAAAAATATTGGGTGCACAGCTCCCAATTTGGGTGCACATGCACCCAGCATTTCGAGCCCTGTGGTGCTATCATCTCCAACAACTACAAATGAAATCTGCCTTCGGCAAAATTGAATTTGAAAGAAATCTTGTCGCATAGACGATAAAAATAGAAATTCGTTCTTATGAATTATATATGACATGTTTTGTCTTTTGCTGATCGATGATAAAAAAGCATTGTGTACGTTGGAAAATTCATATTTGAATCACTACAAAAGCGACACCATATTGTAAATAGCTGATATATCCCCTGATTATTACAGAATGTAATAATACTCTTCCTAAGAAAACACAATAGATTAGCTTTAGTATCATTATGGACTAGCTCGTTAGAATTATTTTTTAGTATTAGTTTGTGTATGTACCATTGTTGTTTCTTTGCCATACATTGTACCAGCTACAGTTCTTGAGCAATAAAGTTGATTTGATTTGATTCGTATTTCCGCCCTTTCATCCCAAGTAAAAGTGTTTTAAATCTCCTTCGGTAGATTTCAGAGAAAATGAAAAACATCTTCAGAAGTCTGCATATGGCCACAGGGATGACTTGACCTATGGCATATGTGTTTGATTTATGCCTGCCGTATACAGGGGTGCCAATGAGAGTATACTGTGCAATTTTACGGAATACAGTACAATTTTACGGAATACAGTGCAATTGTATTATTATACAGTGTAATTTTACGGAATACAGTACAATTTTACGGAATACAGTACAGTTTTACGGAATACAGTGCAATTGTATGTATACAGTGCAATTTTACGGAATACACTGCAATTTTATTAGTATATAGTACAATTTTACGGAATATAGTGCAATTGTATTAGTATACAGTACAATTTTACGGAATACAGTGCAATTGTATTAGTATACAGTGCAATTTTACGGAATACAGTGCAATTGTATTAGTATACAGTGCAATTTTACGGCATACAGTGCAATTGTATTAGTATACAGTACAATTTTACTGGTAAAATTGCAATGTATACTAGTAAAATTGCACTGTATACTAATACGATTGCACTTGTATTCCGTTAAGTTGTACTGTATACTAATACGATCGTACTGTATTCCGTAAAATTGCACTGTATACTAGTAACATTGCACTGTAGTTCGTAAAATTGCACTGTATTCCGTAAAATTGCTCTGTATACTCTGGCACCCCTGGTATATAAGTGTAAATATTGTTTCCCTTTTTGGACGCAGTGATCCTTATTTCTATATGTCAGCGGCTTGTGAAAATGGAGGGAAACCTTCGAATGCATTACCTCAGCAAACTTCGCGTGTCTATAAATACGCCGTAGTCAGCGATCCTTAATTCCCTGCCTACGCAGTCGATCTCGAGTGAAAAGGTTATCGAGAAGTTCATGACATTTAGACCCTTTCTGGATAAGTCTCCTGAGGCCACACCGACTTAATTTTATGGATGACATCCACGCGCGCATTGATTTTCGCCTGTTCTCAAAAAAAGCACGTCCTCCGAGGCTCTGGCCTGGGTAGTGCATGGTAATAGCGACAATACGGAGCCGGTGGTAACTCTGGATGACGGCACCCAACTCATATACAGGCTACCAAAGATCCACGACTCAAGAGCTCAGTACATACGTACAGTGCCAATTCATAAATTCCACAAAAAGCCAGCATATGCCGGCTTGTCGTATACGTCGCTATGTACTGCCGCTAGTTCACAATACCAGCTTTGCATTGCTGTGGTTTAGTAGCATTTTTATTTTTGGCCGGAATTATTTATTCGCCCGCGGGCTCTAGTTTGGGGATCTATCCATAAAATTAAGCCGGTGTGGCCTGACTGTAAAAAAAATAGTAAAAAATAGTCATTGAGAACAATTTGCCAGGAGAAATTGATTGACCAATAACAAAAAACGTGTACGTAAATACGCACAAAAAGGATTTGTATTTCTCTCAAAGCAATTATGTATGGCACCAAAATTGAGGCTACTGATTATTCGATTTCCATACAATTTTCCGCCTACGTACGTGCACGTGTCTGGGCCATGTGTCCCGCACACAGCTTTAGTTTTACCAAGGACATTATACACGCACGTACGTGTATAATGTCCTTGGTTTTACAAAGAGATGAATATAATTAGAGAGAGATGGGAAGAAATAATGAGAGTAATTGGCACAAAAACAGCACATGGACAACAAACAGATATTCAGTGGAACTTCAATCGTGATGCGGTTTGTTTTGTAATTGTATGCATCTCCTAGATCCAAGCGGGGTTTTGTATTTTCTCTATCGGCGTGCTTTCACCCCCCCCCCCTGCCCATGTGGACACCCTACCCAAAGCATGCAACACATCCAACAGGACTGCGAATTAGGACCATCTGCCACCAAACGAGACCTGTACGATGCAAACCAGGAAGCCCTGGGCCGGCTGGAACAGTGGGCCGACAAGATATGATGATGATCGAACCCCCCCCCCCAAAAAAAAAAATAAAGCCCCCTTGCTTTGATGTTCTTGGGTTTTGGCTCATTGTTGGCGTGTTTTGAGGATTTTTATCCGGCTTTCTTTTTTTGCACTGGTATCTTTTTTATACCAGAAAACTGGTATAAAACCATTGCACGTGCACTGGCATCTTTCCTTTATACCAGTGCAAAAAAAAAAGAAATCCCGCGGTATAAAAAGCTTAAAACACGCCAAAAATAAACCAAAACTCAAACCTCTGCTTGGAGAGTACTAGTAACTTTCAGGACCTTAACCATGTGAATCTGGTTCCAATTTCTTAAACTACACGTCGACTTAAAGCGATATTATGTAAGATTTTTTGCACCAAAACTGTAAATGTAAATAATTGAAATTTTCTCATCTAGATTGTCATTTTCGATAACTTTCAACGTTTTCCTGCGACTCAGCGCAGCACGAGAATAAGTTGCGCCAGGCCCGGTGTATCTTTAGGAGGCTCCTAAAAAGGATGTAAACAAACAGCGGCTTTCGTTCGGGTATCTTCGGCAGCTTCCAACACCTTTTTTTGCGGCGCAACGACCTTGATCTTTTACTCCCCAAATGTCATTATGAACCCAGGTAGGCTTATAGCGCAAGAAAATGTGGAAAACAACGATTCAAAAAGTAAAAATCTTACATAATATCACTTTAACTTCATTTGGTGAAAACCGTGGTAACATCATCGCCTTTTTACATGCCGCGTAGAAGCCGTACTTAGGCCACACCGCCTTAATTTTATGGATGACATCCTCTGAAGACCCCCAAACTAGTGCGCGCGGGGGAATAAGAAAAATTCCGGCCAAAAATAAAAATGCTACTATGATAAACCACACAGGAATACAAAGCTGCATATACGTATACGACATACGTACAAGCCGGCACATGCTGGCTTTTTTGCGGAATTTATGAATCGGCACTGTACGTATGTACTAAGTTCTTGAGTCGTGAAGCGTCGGTAGCCTGGGTGCCTGGCTCCGTGTTGTCGCTAACTACCATGGACTACCCAGGCCTAGAGCCAGACCAGAGCCTCAGAGGACGTGATCTTTTTTTTTTTTTTTTTTTGAGTAACAGACGAAAATCAATGCGCACGCGGATGTCATCCATAAAATTAAGACGGTGTGGCCTTACCGCCCGTGGCGCATTTTAAGATCGAGATGATGAGTTGAAATGGCAGCTACCATGGCTGTGAGCAATTTCTCTAATGACGTTGCCCTTTTCCAACCGACAGGACCCGGCTGGCCGATACACCTGTAACAAGCAGGCGCACAGTACCGTGAACTAACGAGCATCGCATGAAATTAGCTTCATACTATCATAGTCGTTCGTTCGCTCTGCTATTTGTTAGTCTCCACCAGACTCCTTTGCAGGCTGAATGAATTAGTAGTAGAAATTGTATTCAACTTTCAGGAAAATTGGACCCTCTATGGCCGCCCAACTCCTCTAGCCTGTTACAGTTACCTTTTTAGGACGATTTCTACTATCATTTAGCCTGCGAATGAGTCCGGTGGAGACTATCTAATTTTCGAGAGCACAAAAGAGACTATATCCTCCGGCACAAACCTATTGTATAAGGTCCCCGTTTTCTTGTTTTTTTTTTTTTTTTTTCTCTTTTTTTTTTGGAGGGGGGGGGGTGATTTGCGATCTTTAACATTCGGTCGACTTTACTTTAGAGTTCTAGGCGTTCTTTGTCGCCCTTTTATTTTTCCACCGAATGTTGTACTGTAAACTAACAGTTACATAGATCACCATCGGTATCCTCGACTTTCAGCATTGAACATTGTGATGTTCTATTGGGGGGCGTTATACAATTTGTGAGGAAAAAGATTTGTCTCAGAGTAAAGCTTGAGTGGGTAGTTTGCCTATTGACATCGCTGTTGAACAATATCAGAAAAATTTACCAATTTATACTGTTCTGTGTGTATTTTCTCAGTAATGGTCACCGTTTCGAATTTCCCGCGCAACCTCGTTCTCCTCGTGACCTCGATGAGGTCATCGTAATCCAAAATGGCGGGTTTACGTCAGGAAATCTGTCGTCTGTACATGTTTTTCCGTATTTCTGCCGCAATATATGCGTAATGTCGTCAGTTTTCCTCAGCGAGATGACCTAGAAGTCAGCAAAAGACTTTTCTGAGCAATTCGGGGCTGGAAATGGTGTTGCGCTGTGCAATAGACGCCGAGATATCCACGGAACAAGCCGACCGTCCCGCCCGGAAAGCTTGCGCAGACGACATCTGTGCAGCGTTATCTGTGACAGCTCGGAGCTGTTTTCAGACGACAGGACTGCTCTGCCGACTGTGCTCCTCTCTGCAACGATGGGCTGATCAGTAGAGCTAAAAACGTCGCTATTTTAGCTCTGTAGGACAACGGTGTAGCAAATGCCACTGCGGTAGATTTGTCCATTCTCGCTTGCTGTCAAATGTTTCAGTCGGAAGAAAGGTAGCTAGAATTTATGTGTTATGAATAAATCCTGATAACGTCGCAATTGCTGATGCCTTCTGATTGAACCGTGGCAACAAAAGGGCCATCGTTTCTGGTGAAGAAATCAAGGAAGAAGATCGCTATCGGACAACATTCCACAACAACGCCAAAGATAGACACCGTAGTAGCTAAAGATAAACAAAACAAGTGGTTGTAAAGATGGCGCTGGTTTTGGGCCTGGCAGTGGCTCAAGTGAGCGCTAGTGAATCTCAGTACAGCCACAGCAACCTGAACGGATCGCTCCTGAATCCAGATAACATCAACGATGTAAGTACTGAGTCATCATTTGCAGTGGCAGAAATACTTTTTTTCAGTGTTCTGCAATATTGCAGAATTTCAAAATTTTATTCTGTAATTCAGAAATTATACATACTGTCTGCAAATACACACGTAGAAGTCCACATCTAAACCCATGGCATATACAAAATTGCATTTTTTGCTAACATGTTACATGCAACATTTTATGTATATTATAAAGTCAATAGTAATGACAAAAGCTCTTAAACCAAGGAGGTTAAGTACTTTGCTTAAACACAATTGGACCCCTAGTCTGAGTCTGCAAAATTGCAGCTTGCTTAATTTTTCTTCTGCAATATTGAAAATGTCTCTGCAAAATGCAGACTGCAGATGGGTATTTCTAACACTGATTTGTGTGCATGAGTAGCATAATTAGACATTCATAGCGTGATTCCGACTGAGAAAACTATGATTTGGTCCAGCCAAAAGGTGATGTTAGTATTATAATAGTATTGTTATGGTCATTTGAATCTTGAATACAACTGGCAATCTCCCAAAGGATTAATCCTCAAAGATAGCTTGGCTTAATTAAGAAGAAGAACTTAATTGCATGACAGTTGTGCATGGTACAATTTATGGCAACAACTATAATACAAACAGGGGTAAGTGAGGAAACATTTAGCTATAGTTGTGGAGCACCAGCCATAATATAGGACAGCCAACTCACCAGAGTTGGATAAGTAGAAAACAGCATCCAGTCTGAATGATGGAAAACAAAGTCCAGTCCGATTTTGGAAAAAGCAGTCCGGCTGTTTCTGTGTGTAGTAGTGCCCCCTTGCATAATACAATAAAAGTACAAGCAGTCTGATTTGTTACCACACGTCATATCGTGAAGTGCACTCCTTTGATACTGACATGCAAATGCTGACAGCTGCATGAATGCAAGTGATACTTTACATAAATATTTTAACATTTTAGAACTGAACTAGAAAGGGAACATTTGCAAAGCAAATGCATGATGTTCACCTTCGCATATGGTCTGCTCTGTTAATTCTTACTCAAACACATTCATATATATGGTCAGACAGGATTCTAAATCCCTCCTGCTATAAAATATTGCAACATGAATGTTGTAACCCAATACCAGTTACCATGGTGACAGACATCTGTTTCAGGTCATTGACCTTATTGGTTTAGAGAAGAAAAAGATGAAGAAGAAACAGAGCAAAAACAATATGTTTTCCTTCTGCGAACATAACAAGCTATATTTCTGTGTTTTCCAGGACCTGAGGAAGGTGAACTCTAACATCATCTGGCTGCTAGCTGCAGCTGTGCTGGCGTGTGGCTGGGTCCTGTATCTCACGTACTACAACTCTCGAGTCCTGGGTTTCATTCTCACACGGATACTCAACAGATTTGTCAAGAACTGCCACGTGAATGTTGGTGAGTACAAATGGTTTAGGCTCCTTTTGGGGGCTCGCATGCCCTTTACCTTAGAGCGTAATCGGCCGTTTTAATTCTACATAGAGTGTGTCTACGGACCGCTCTAATTCAACATAGAGCGTAATTGGTGCATTTTGCGTAGAGCGCAATTCGCTGTTTTATTTTGTGTAATGTGTTGTAGCTACTAGGAATTTTTCGTGAAGCGTAATGGGGGAGGCTTCTTGAATTAAAAATTTAGCGTAGAGCGTTGTCGGGACCCCCCATGCAGGCCCTTCCTTTTGTCTCCAGGACATGTTCATGTAATTGTAAAATGGTACTCCAGCTTGAAAAATGGTAAAAAAACATGATGATTTTCAGTATTGTATTAATAATTAGGTCTGAAAATACATTACAATACAATTGTAACATCGCGCACTATTTTGGGTGGCTGATTGTTTGGATGAAGTAGGTCAACAGCACAAGGAAAGGTAAACCTACAGGAGGTCAAAAGGTCATACAAAAGAAAAGAGGGTGAAGTTGAAGGTCATGAAAACCCTAAATTCTTCCCAGAAGTCTGAAATGTCTATTCTTCTTAAAGGTAGAAAGCTTAAGTCTTTTATTTATTTACTTCTTGTATCAAAGTACAGTACTGCATATACAAAGGAAAGAGCTTTCCCATAATAATCTGCTACATTTTTGTGCTTTTTCAACTATGTAAAACATTCAATTGTGGTAACTGTAACTGTGGTACTTCTTCTTTTCAGGTTCATTTAGTGTGTCAGTGCTGTCGGGAAAGGTCATGTTCCGGGATGTTCACTACATTGATTATGATAGATCCATCAGGTAACAGAAACAACTTGTTATTAACCATTCTCCTCCACTTACAGGGGTCGAAAAACCCCTCTGTGTGCAACTTGGTGCAAGTAAATTTGGTGATGTGCAACAAATTTTTTGCTGGTATGCACTGGTGCAAGTTTGCTTTATCCGCTGTTACAACCTGTAGAAATATCCAATAAAGAACTGGAAAGGGAACAATTTCAACAAAACCAGAATCCGTGAAGTTTTTCTTCATTTTCTGTAATTAATAGAAGGTTATTACTATCTACCGGTATGTCGCTTTAGTAGGTTATATTTATTAGTAGTGTAAGCAAATATTGGATGCTACTAAAGTTACTACATGTACTTTTGGTTGTGTACCTATTATTTTTGGGGGTGCAACTATTTTTCTTCTGGTGTAAGTATTTTTTTTTTTCATCTGCACCAGTGCAAGTTGGCCCCAAAATCTATTTCAACCCCTGACTTATATAACTTAGTGGATGGTTAGTGGCAGAAAAATGAAGGTTAAGTTCTATAATGGGCCTCCTAGTGGCTATTTAAGGCATTGCAGCGTAAAATTTTCTGCAAGTGTGACTGTCAGATTCAGTTTTGTGTCATGTTTAAAAACTAATATTCCTGTCAATTGACATTTGTACTGGGAATTGTAAATTACAATGTATAAATGTATACATGTATAAAGTAACTTTATAATTTTCTTTCCTTCCTAAGAGTTCAAGATGGTGTAGCAATATTTCGGTGGTGGAGACCATACATACCACGAGAGTCAAAATATGGTATGTGTGCTATGATAAAAAGTATGATTTGATTGAGTTTACGCATTGCCATTGTCAATCAATAAAAACACTTACATGTACATGTACCGTAGGTTTCCTTTGGTAAAATATGTATGATGATAATTTTATTGTCTGGGACATAAACAATGGAATCAGGCAGTTACTTTCAAATATTAAAGGAGACAATTAAATGTGTTTTCTCAGAAATGTGATTCGTAGCGATGGGAAGATGACAGACTCGAGACTTTAATTCAGTCTTTATCAAGAATGACAGAGATCGGACCACTCCTCCTTTTATACTTTTTCCGTGCCTATCTAGTGCAGGGCGCTCTGCTCGAGTTTTAGATATTGACCAATCAGCATTGGCATCTCATATTGCCCTGGTTTAGGCTGGATTGCACTGACCTGGAGGTCTAGTTCACTATGCACTGAGTACTATGCACTAGGTTAGGTTGCCATGACCTCAGTTGACCTTGGTTGACCTATGGTATGACTTCATCCATTGTTCTAGAACAATTGCCTATGTCAATTAGGTCCTGTTTTCACATTGGAGGATGAGGCAACTTACAGTTATTACGTCATGGTGACGTTTACAATGGTGTATACATATCAGTCTGAGTGAGTGGTCCGTGCAAGCAGAGTTAAGCAAATACATGAACAGGAATTCTGTTGTGCGAACATTGAGTGAAGAAAATAAATAATAAATACCACAACCTTCTGAATTTTCTAAGTGGGTACGTAAGTGCTCGGATCCATAGGATACTAGTAACCGACAAATGCGAAAACTAAATATGATTACAGAGGTTTGTGCCGGTTTTCTCAGAAATGTGGTTTAATGTTTGGGATTATGATGTAATGTATGATAAATTCATCATCTTAGCTTGCCTATGACTGTAAAATCAGATGTGAAGATGTACAGATTGCAGGAAAATTTAGCAATTGGAAAGAATTTGTAAAACGTCAGTAGGCCACACCAATTTAATTTGTTGGTTTAAAGATTCGCTCGCTTTGTTTTTTCCTGATTTGGAAAAAAAAAGAAAAACATTTCAGGCTCTGAATCAACTCCAAAATGCTCATATTTTGGCCTCAACAGTTGAAGGAAGTCCCTTCTCTTCAGAGTTGTTACAGTTTATCAATGCAGTGGGGTTTTTTTGCCTTGTTGCTTCATATTTTTTTTCTGAAAAAATTCGAGAACCAACAAATCAAATTGGTGTGGCCTTAGATTCGACAGCAAGAAATGAACATGTTCAAGTCAGTTTTAGCATCGCTGGTCTGACATAAGAAAATGAAATGATACAAAACTGTTGAAAACCTTTGAAGTAAGAATCATATTAACATTTTTCATTTCATGGAATCCTTGTGCCACACAGACCCAACTCCAATGGACACTCGGCTGAATCTGTACCTGAATGGGTTTGAATATCACATCTACAACCGCTCGGATGTTTACGGAAAGCTGGAGAAGGCCTTTGGGCTAGACCAGACCATGGGCTTCGAATACGACCCACCTGAGGATGGCAAACAAGGAGACAGAGGGTATTGTTTCTCCTTTTTTTTTTCAAATATTAAATTTTGTTTGCCCCCAAAAAATTATGTACTAACTTAAGGCCACACCAATTTAATTTCTTGGTTAACGGATTCGCCCGCTTCATTTTTTTCTGATTTGCAAATAAAAATAAAAATTCAGAATCAAATGCAAAATGCTCATATTTTGCCCTGAACAGTTGAAAACAGTCCTTTTCTTCCTAGTTGTTGTTACAGTTATTCCATCTTTCAATGTAGTGGTATCATTAAAAGTTCAAAATTCATTGTTTAAATTTTGAACCAGCCTGGTGTGTTGACTTCATGGCTCCTATTGTACTGTTTTGGGCCATAATAGGATGCCTAGGCCTGTTTTTATTTTTATTCTTTTTTCGCCCGCCCACTCCATTATTTTTCTAGAAAAATCCGTTAACCAAGATATTAAATTGGTGTGGCCTAAGTATGAAGTTTTGGTATTAATAACAAAATATTATTGTTTTTTGAAGTTCAGAGATGCTATTGATAACAAAATATTTTTTTCTGTAGATCAGAGACACCAGATAATGGCGAGGAAGAAGAAGCAGAAAAGGAGCCCATATGGCGAGACCTTATTCCGTTCATTAAAGCAGACATCTATACTGTGAGTCCTTCTTCTGGTATCATTATAACAATCTCCTGGAACATGCTTTCTTATTCACCTACCTGCCCTACTGCATTTATTTATTAGGCCTAGGAAAAAAAATGTTGTGTTTCCTGTTTCAGTCCTGAAAAATTAGGGGCGGTAGGTAAGGATTATCTTTTTTTTTTCTTTTTTTAAACTTTGGCAATCTCTAATGATCCAACTTGTACAGTACAGTTAAACAAAGTAAAACTTGCATGACGACACTTATAGTTTCAATGTCAATGTTTATTGTTTGTTTATTGTCATTTTGCACATAAAAAAAGTTAACAGTATAAAATGAAATTATATACATTCAAGCAAATATATGCTGGAGAGCCCAAGAAACCTGAAGGTTTGTCTAGTGGACTCTCCCAAATCCTATTAATTTTACGATCTCTTATTTACATACATTTATTACATTTACATTTAACTTGCAATGTATTAAGGGACAAGCAAACAAATTAACTCAAAATAGGTACAAGATAATATAAAGTTAACATGGCGAATTAAATATCTAAACAATAAAGTAAGACAATCAAGAACAAATCACATTGAACAAAAAAATAAATTTCCATTAAGTCAAATCATAAGTTATTATGAGTAAGAACAACATAAGAATGTTGGAAAACTGATGGTACAATGTTTCATCACTCATGGAACTAGAAAAGGTCGATCAGCTTAAAAAATTCATGCCCCTTGCAGGGGTCCATACAAAAAAAAGGCTAGGGTTGGCAGTTTTTCCTACTCGAGTATGGTCGGTCAGGAAACAGGAAACGCAACATTTTTTTTCCTGGGCCTTAACAGGTACAGTGCACCAGGTGTTGTACAAGGTAGGCTTGAATGGCACTGCTCATCAGCTTTAATTAGCAGATGGCAGGTTAGGAAATGTCAAAGGTTTGAGCGGGTTTACATAATAATAATATACAGATATGTGTTTGGTGCACATCGAAACAAAATTTTTTGTGCCTTTCCATCTGCTTCATTTTGATTTTGATACATGTAGCTTGAAATATGTTTTCTGACAGTCTGAGAATCTTGTTTTCATAAAGTAACGTGTGTATTTGTGTCTGTGTGTGTGTGTCACTGTGTGTTCATGTACAAATGTATGTGTGTTTGTGTGTCACAGTGATTTTCCGCTAAATTGCAGATTTGAAAAGTAGTCGGAACTAAACCATCAATCACTGGTAGTACATAATGTACAGCACTGTACAGGATTTACAGTGCACTTAAGCCCTGGTCACAACCCGCCGTACATGCTTTTTGTCCGTACGTTTTTTGGGAGGCTACATGTACGTCTGCTACATTTTTTCTGAAAACGTGGGGAAGGAGTGGCGTCGACGCACGTCACTCGCATGTCACTCGCACGGTTTCACAAGGTGTAAGAGTGTGTTGTGCATGCCACGTCTGGCCGTGAGCGGTTGCGTGCATCGTTCGTTGCGCAAGTGGTAATTGAGTGGTACGTGCTTACAACGTACGATCTCTGTGCGATTGCAACTTTACCGTAAGGAGGCCGTACTCACACGTGCATCTTACGGTACGTGCGGCACGCACGTACTCGCACGTACGCCCGGCCCCGGTGGTGAATCCGCAGACCGCACGCAGAAAAAGTTTTACATGCACTTAAAGTTCTACGGCATGTCTGCGTGCTCCCAAATCCGTAGGATTCCGTACGGAGGCGGTACTCACCACCACGCACGGATCCCCTACATTTGTCCACATTTTTGCACGTAGACAGCACGCAGAAGCACGTACGGCGGGTTGTGACCAGGCCTTTAGAGTGCATACATTTACTGTGCAAAGTTTCCAAAGTCATGACTCTATCTGTTTTGTTTATGTGTGGCACTACAGGGAAGGATTGTGTTTGGTAACCGACTGATCCCGAGTACTCTGTGTGTGAACTGGGAGGAGGCAAAGCTGGAGTACACCACCAAGTGTGCTCACAACCCTCTGGACAAGTACACCCATTTCATCAAGGCCGAGGCTGAGAACGTCAGGGTCATGCTGTCCAAGAGTCCCAAGTATGAGGGAGACATGGAGGAGTAAGTAAATACTACAGGGCTCGAAATTCATTTTGGGTAAGACCACACCAATTTAATTTCTTGGTTAACGGATTCACCCGCTTCATTTTTTTCTGATTTGCAAATAAAAATAAAAATTCAGAATCAACTGCAAAATGCTGATATTTTGCCCTGAACAGTTGAAAACAGTCCTTTTCTTCCTAGTTGTTACAGTTATTCCATCTTTCAATGCAATGGTATCATTAAAAGTTCAAAATTCATTGTTCAAATTTTCAACCACCCTGGTGTGTTGACTTCATGGCTCCTGTCGTACCATTTTGGGCCATAATAGGATGCCTAGGCTTGTTTTTATTTTTATTTATTTTTTGCCCGCCCGCTTCATTATTTTTCTTGAGAAATCCGTTAACCAAGAAATTAAATTGGTGTGGCCTAATACAACTAATTCGCTGACTTTCTTTCTTCTGCAACAGTCCTGCTGCCACCGCAAACATATATATAGTTCTGCGAACATGACCATTTTTCTCAGACTGCTAAATTTTACTACCGCAAATATATAAAGTGATTTACATATACTATATAGTAATTCAGTCTAGAACAGATATTATGTAGATCTTCTTTCAGGGGGTAATATTTCATTTTCAACTGCTAAATGCTTTTTTGCAAGCTTTATACTCTATAGTACAGTTTAGTACAGTTCAGAGGAGTTTCATGATTGTACAAGAGAACTCAAAGTTTAGTTCTGAGGGTTAGTCTTGAGATTTAAATGTATTGCACTATACATTGTACCTGTTGTGTTTTCCAGGCCTCCTCGTTTTATGGGAGAGGGTTTTGTGGTGTTGCAGTCAGGAGATGTTATTGTGTACTACTACTGGGATGAACCAGGTAAACACTACAACTGCCAAGGAATGGCAAGTTTGTACATTCTGTAAATCATGATATAAATGTAGTCACAGTGGTTTTCTGGTGTTTCATAATCTGTGCTGACTGTAAACTCAAAGATATCACAAACTACTCACGCTGCTGCACATGTAATGTACTAATTTTTGATTGAATCACAAACACCTCCTTTTTCCATGAAAGTCCACGCAATATTAAAGGTGTTTACAGTAAAATGTGGCACTATGGTATAGACATAGAACATGTAAATTCTGTCATAATTGCTGTATATGAGAGACACCTAGCTGCTGACACTTGTATTGCACCTGTGTAGGCCGTATGAAGGATGAGATACCGGAGAGCACAAACCCATTTGACATTGACATTCCCCCTGTCTGGAGAATGGACATCAAATGTGGGAAAGGAACGGACATCAGCTATGGGCCATGGGTGGACAAACAGAGGTTTGTTTGTTTGTTTGAGTCTTTGTTTATCATTAAATAACAACTACAATGTGCATTGTAACTGACGAAAGCTAGTGGATGCTGCCTGAAACATTTCCAAAATCATATCCAGTTGCTTGAATAACTGTTTTTTGGCATAATTACAGGTACATGTCAACAATATATGTATTTGCTTTCACAGAGGTATTATTTTGGGTATGTTTGTGTGTTTGTTTGTGTGTCTGTGCCTAGGCCTGTTTTTTTCTTCACCTCCCCATTTCATTGATTTCCGTAAAAAATGCAAGAACCAACAAATCCTAACCGGTGGTGTAACGACTCAGAACCAAGAGGTCCTGTGTTCGAATCCTGCCATGCCACCCATCCTGTGCCCTTGGGAAAGGCACTTATTTTTTTTTACCACAAATTTCCTCACTTAACTCAGGTGAAAATGGAGCTGGAAAATGAGTATCTCTGTTGTCTGTGAGTTTGTCTGTGTTAGTGTCAGCCACAAAATAAGTTGAAAAAACTTGAGTGTGCTGTCGTCATGTCTTGTGATAATGTTGGAATAAAAAAAACCTAACCTGTGAAATAAAGACTGAACTTTAACTTCCAACACTAGATATAGAATTGGGACTTAGCCCAAATTTTCGGTTGACTCCATCAACCTTGTTCACGGAATGGACCCGTCTACTCTTGGAACATGACGTCAGAGACACGTGACCGTAGTAGCGGGTCATACGTGCCAGATAACTTGTGTCGCCCCCCATCTCTGTTCAGGGTACATTTGTAGGTCTGTGAGCTCTTATGTAGACTGCCTCCTTAACTCCTCTTGCAAAGAAGTCTGATTCAGAATCAAGGATTTTAACTCCTTCTAGAGATACTGAATGTCCCGGAGACTCAATGTGAATATGTTGTGAGACTTCTGAGTTTACAGATCTAGAACAAGGTTGATGGAGTCAACCGAAAATTTAGGGTAAGTCCCAATTCTATATCTAGTGTTGGAAGTTAAAGTTCAGTCTTTATTTCATAATGATTTGTACGAACACAGATGAACTTTCATGCCAAACCTAACCTGTGATTTCCTGTCTTGACCTGTACAGAGAGTTTCTACAGAAGTTCTTTCTGCCTGCCGACTACCAGTCCTTAGAGGTGACAGAGCCGGTGACAACAGGCCAGCTCAGACAGTACACCAGCTTTGACATGTCCATGCATCTACAGAACGATGCTACCATCGACATTCTCTTCTCCAAGAAAAAGGTACATACATTTGTACATGTACATACATGTATAGAGTGCACAAGAGCGCTGATTATTCTAATAGTATTAGATAATATTAATACTATCATGAAAGTTCATCTGTGTTGGTAGTTACATGTTTAAAGTTAAAACTTTTGATCCAACACAAAGAAATCTCTCACCTAGAGCTTTCGACCAGTCACTCTGGTCTTCCTCAGTAGACTGACACAGTGAAGCTTGTCACGTGGCTTCTTTGAAGTGTGATAATATTATTTATAATTATTATTCTTGGATAATATTAAAGCGATATTATGTAAAATTTGAACTATAATTTTAAACCTAATGACATTTGGGGAGTAAAAGATCAACGTTGTTGTGCCACAAAATGTGTTGGAAGCTGCCATGCCGAAGATACCCAAACAAAAAGCGCCGTTTGTTTACATTCTTTTTTGGAGCCTTCTAAAGCGTGCGTAGTCCAGTGGTTAGCGATCCTGCCTCTGGACTAAGAGGTTGGGAGTTCGAATCCCTTCTGATGTCGCTCACCAGACATGCACACTACTGTTTAGGGTCGCAGTCCTTCGGACGGGACGTTAACCATGGTCCACTGTTCATTGTGCTTGTTAAAAAGAGCTAGGGGAATTTCCCCGGTACAATGAACCTGTAAATACTGTAGATAGCGTCTATCTTCTCTGTCACGACCAGTGGAAGATTCCCCGGAAAAGCGAAATAGTGATGCTAATATGTTGAAAGTTTTATGTTGAAAATGACAATCTACATGAGAAAATTTCAGTTATATGTACAGTTTTGGCGGAAAAAACCTACATAATATCACTTTAAAAACCTACATCTGCTGGTTGGTTCTCCAGGAGACCAATGCTATCCACATGAACGTGGGTCGAGGGTCGTGTATTGAGATGACCATCCCGTATGTGGTGGAGGAGAGTGGGTACGTCACCAAGGTTACCAGTCGGCTGCTACACCTGGACGCTACCACCAGTCTGGAGTACAGGTCTCTACTCGAGGCTGAGACTCTCGAGGTCAGGATGCCTTTTAATTCAAGTCAAGGCAACACCAATTTAATTTCTTGGTTAACAGATTTTTTTAGAAAAATATTGGAGCAAGCGGACGAAAAAAAAAAAAAAACAGGCCTAGGCATCCTATTATGGGACAAAATGGTACAATAGGAGCCATGAAGTCAACACACCAGGCTGTTTCAAAATTTAAACAAAGAATTTTGAACTTTTGATACCATTGCATTGAAAGATGGAATAACTGTAACAACTAGGAAGAAAAGGACTGTTTTCAACTGTTCAGGGCAAAATATGAGTATTTTGCAGTTGATTCTGAATTTTTATTTTTATTTGCAAATCAGAAAAAAATGAAGCGGGAGTATCCATTAACCAAGAAATTAAATTGGTGTGGCCCAAGCTGAAAATAATTGCCTTTGTCAGAAGGGTATGTTTAGCAATTATGGAAACAAAAGTCAAGTTCAAAAATGTTTATCCTGTGATGTTCCCACGTTGCTACAGTGAAATAGATGCGGATGGTTGCTAATGATATCTTGTGGATGGGTAGAGACAGCAAAGATGAAGGTCAAGTTCGATAATGGGCGTCATAGCTGCTTTTTTTAGGTGTGTCAGGAAAGCATTTAAGTTTGATTTGATAATGATTCCAGATTTCATATACCAACAGTATGGATCTTGCTACTTGAAAATCACTTGCAGTCTGAACAGAAAAGAAGAAAACCTGAAAATACAGCAAATCAAAGACTTTTTTACGCAACACTAGCAGGTTCAATGTAAGACCAAGCATTGTTTCAGACTTCCAGCTACAGTTTGTAATGTACAAGACTTAGTACATTTTAACTATCTAAGGTACCGTAGGCAATATTGATATAAGGCACAATAATAAAATTATACAGTGTAAGCAAAGTGTTGTACATGTACAACACTACTAACTACATTGTAGTTACATTAATCTACTAGTAGTATGATCTTAATGTAAATTAAAAGCTATAGTATACAACTGGATACATGTGTGACTGAGCAATGTTACAGTAATGCAATCTTGAATGATGCCTGTGTTGTTCATATTTACTTCAGATATCGATGGATGTACACTACCCCATCGTGTGGAACCAGCCACAGCTGTGGTCCTGTGACATTGTGGCCTGTAAAACAACAGTCAACTTCATCTTCGCACACAAGTTCTTCATTATGGGTAGGTGTTTTCAACATGCAGCTTTTCCACTCCAAACCTTAGGGTTACTCCTTCATATTAACAGTTTCTTCAGGTTGGTAAGTCATGGGATATTAAAGGTTTTTTTGTTTACTACAAATTACAATATCTTCCAACATTTCTGTACTCCTTTTGCTACATACATTTGTAGTTAACAGTATACATTATCTACATGTATCTCCATATTGTCATCCCTAAAGAGGGCTGTAAGAAATTTCATAGTTTGGATGACTTGTACATGTACATGTACATAGTATTTCAATGTAAGGCCTAGGGAAAATATGTTGACGAATGTGTTTCCTGTTTCAGTCCCGAGGAAATTAGGGTCAGTACGTAGAAATTATCTTTTTTTTCTTCTTTTTTTTTGACTTTGCCGATCTCTAGTGATCCAACATGTACAATACAGTTAAACAAAGTAAACTAAACTTGCATGAGCACACTTCTATTTTCAATGTCAATGTTGACAAACTGTACAACATTAATCAGGTGTCAGATTATGGAGCTAGAAAAGGTTGATCAGCTTGAAATATTTATGTCCTTGCCAGGGATCCACAAAAAAAAAAAAAAAAAAAGTCTAGGGTCGGCATTTTTTTCTAAGATCGGTCGGGAAACAGGAAACACAACCTTTTTTTCCTAGGCCTAAAAAAAGGCTAAATAACCATTTGTTGATTTTTATTTGAAAAAGGTACTTATCACTCATCAGTTTTTATTAACTACAAACTGTCTGTGTTTTATTTAGATGTGGCGTCGGTGGCGCAATGGTTAGAGCATTGGACTCGGAACTTAGAGATCCCGGGTTCGATACTCACCGTGACCCGATGTTGTGCCCTTGGGAAAGGCACTTTACACAACTTCCCCATCTATACGGTAGTGACGCCCACCGAGCCTCTTAGGCTAATCTGTCTGTCTGGGTGCCAAAAACACCTTACGGATTTGGATGTGACAACATCTGCACATTGGCCACTGAGAGCCGTTAAATTTATTTATTTTATTTTTTATTTAGATCTGATAGATGACTGGGGCAGTAAGACCATTCCAGACATCATGAGTTTTGTGCCGTACACGTGGAGGTTCAACGTGGCTCTGAAGGAGTTTGAGTTTATCCTGGTCACCAACCAGTACAATTGGATAGACTGCTCCTCCCTGAAAGACAACGAGAATGGTATGGTCCAAATTCTGTGGTCTTTTATATCTAACCTTTATAATGAACTTCAACTCTAATTTTTAGTTTTAAAATATATTTTGTTATTGATTCAGAACCTGAATTTTACATGTATGGGACCCGGTACAATATATTTTTTTTGTTGAAGCCAGCAAATCCAAAAACCAAGAAATTCAATTGGAGTCTGTTTTTGCTTTATACTGTATATACATGTACATGTATGTACATGATGTAGTTGTTAGCATGAAACAGCTTACAATACTACATTTCTGTTACTAGATGAGTACTGTTCGTAGAATAATTACTCCATATTGATCAGTGTGTTATGATTTCAAAACTGGAACATTTGCAAAGCAAATGCATGTTCATCACCTTTGCATATGGTCTGCTCTGTTAATTCTTACTCAAATACATTATATGGTCAGACAGGAGTATAAATCCTTCCTACTATAAAATTGAGAGATGTCAACAAATCAGGTCTTTGGAAAGGTAAGAGGTTTAAGTGTTTGGAAAAGAGGAGAGGAAGAGGAAACTGTTGTGTAAGCAAAAACAATATGTTTTCCTTCGGTAAACATAAAAAAATGTTGTACCTGACAGGTAACATGGCCATCGGAGGAGAGAGAGTGGACATCTCGTTTGACCTACCGTTCACTGACTTCCTCCCTGAAACTGTCTGCATCAACTTTCTCATCCAGGTAGGTTTCTCAATCATATTTTGCTACCCTTCCTTCTGTGCACTCTCATATTTAAATGAGGTTTATTTTTCAGCCCTGAAAGCTTACAATGTTTTGATACCTTGTTAAAGTTTAACAAGTAAATGTTTTGCCGTATGTGTAATCAGTGGTATCAAGGCAAACAAATCTGCATGTCTGCATTGAAGATCCTAAGGGTCTAGATTTTCCTAAGGAAAAAAGTAGAGTTGATTCATTCCAGAAGCTAACTGCCATAAATTCAGTATATATTCAATGTATAAATGTATGCAATAATGTTAAGTGTTTATTTTAATGTAATGTATCTGTATCGATATAGCCGGTATAACTGCCCTTCTGCGTAACACACCAGCTTCGCAGGCACGCGGCGTGGCGGCAGCTAGCTATATCACACTGAATGACTTGTTACACTTAATCTTTACTTAATAACAATGTAAATACCAATACCATGACAGGTGACATTGTCATAACTATTTTGTATGTCTGCAATGTTGGTATGGAAATAAAGAATTGAATTGAAAATAATGAATTCATTTGACATCATCACACTGCAGTCATCCCTCAGTAAGACATCTGGAGTAACATACATCAGATTCTGTAGTTCCTGTTTAGAACTTGAATTCAGTTTGTCACGACTGGTTTTGCCCTGTGGGCTTGTTCAAGTGTACAGAGGCTAAAATTGATGTTCCTGATCTCTAGGGCAAGTCTCTGGATGCACGGTTGTTCCTCCCAGAGATGGACACCACCCGACACTGCCTGCTGTCCCTGGTCAAGAACAGCAGATACAACACATCACAGGACACTGTGGACTCCGACAAGGGATGGAGAAACATCACACAACTGGGGTAAACATTACTTTTTTTTTTGTGGATGGCTTGAGTTCTTTGGTCCAAGGAGCATCAGATGCTTATAGGACTTTAAATACATTTTGTATCCTTAGGCTTGAAAAGCAATCTCAAGAGTATTATTATTCAGGTGACAGTTTTGAGTCTATAAGCATGTAGTTCGTTAACTTCATGTATCACCAAGAAAGTAAAGATTCAAAGAATCAGATACCTGTTGAATTATAGTTTCTCTGTACAGTATAGTTTCTGTGTACAGTATTGAAAATAGGTATGTTAATGTATCTGATTCAATATACCATTCACTGATGATTAACTATTTTCCCTTCCATTGGAAAAGGAATGAGTGATGTGGTAGTACATTGAATATTTCATGGCAGCTGACCAATGATTGTTCATCATGTACATTTGTACATGTATCATGGCCAATGAGATGGCTTATGTGCTTTGACCAATGAGATGCCCTTGGTTGTGACCAATGAGATGACACATTTCCCTGACCAATGAGGTGGCTCTTGTGCTTTGACCAATGAGGTGGCTCATAGGTCACCATGAGGTGGCTCTTGTGCTTTGACCAATGAGGTGGCTCATAACAACCATGTTGTTATTTTGCAGTGCTGGTTGGGTGGACACATGGCATGTGCCTGCCATGAACATGTGTCTAGGCTACACCTACCATCCCATCATGCCCGAGGAAAGTAAGGGCCACCTCCTCCCCCGCACAGGTGTGGTCACGTGCATGCCAATCATCCAGTTACCATGGCAACAAGCAGAAGAAGGGCCTTTTACGTTGGCATGCACAGTCTTGCACCTGTGTTGCATTTTTTTCTCAATTGTATGCCTTGATTTTCACATTTTGATTGATTTCGTGTTTGCAATGTTTGAAGAAAGGAGACTAGATTAGATATATTATGTTACACTCAGCATGATCAGCTAACATTTTCTTTTATTTATGATTTTCAGTCAAATCAAAAGGTAACTACAGCATTTTTGTTCTTTTTTTCCCTTTTTTTTCTTCAGACATTTGGTTGTTGAATATATTTGCTGCAGTCAGAACTAATTTCTTAAAGTTTTTATTACAATTTAATTTAAATCTGCATAAAAACAACTTTGAAAGTCTGCAAACTTGCATGTAAGATACATATTTATGAGCAATGTATTTGCATGATAAGATAGATTGCTATTTAATATATTGCAAATCTAATCTTAAGTAATCATAATATGTAATACACAACTGTTTGGAGTCATTATTTAACTAGTCTTTAACTGATTAAAACTCAGACAAAAGGAAGCATTGTGTCTTTAAGAATGGAGAATGTCAATGTGCACTGCAAGAGATAAGGACTGAAACAACCAAAGGAAGCCTTCTTAAGGCCACACCAATTTAATTTGTTGGTTCTCGGATTCCCCCACTTCATTTTTTTCTGATTTGCAAAAAAAAGAACATTTTCAGGCTCTGAGTCAACTCCGTATTTTGGCCCCAACAGTCAAAGAAAGTCCCTTCTCTTCAGAGTTGTTACTGTTGTTCCATCTAAGTATCAATGCAGTGGTTTGATTGAAAGTTTGAAATGCATTGTTTCAGTTACAAACCAGTCTGGTATGTAGATTTCAAAGCTCCTATAATGATTAGCATAGAATGCCTAGGTCTAGCTGTTTTTATTTTTTTTGCCCTGTCGCTTCATATTTTTTTCTGAAAAAAAAAACAAGAACCAACAAATCAAATTGGTATGGCCTAATGTTAGACCAACTTCATATCTTTGAATCCTTCCTCAGTGTCAGACATAGAAGAAGAGATGCTGTCCAGTTTGCGACCGACGCCCCAGGGCACACCAGAAGTCAGTTCCAAGAGGAGAGTCAAACTGTCCCCCTCCATGGTTGACTTGGACCTGTCCAGTATCAGTCCTGACAGGATAGATGTTGAGGTGGATGTGGCACCGTCTGTTGTCACCCTGTATGCCACCTTCCTGCGCATGTTCTTCAACTTTAAGGTGAGGACTTTCTCAAGTAGGATTTGTTTGCAATAGCCTCCAATTTGATTCCGAACTAATTCTGATATCTCAGCAACCTTATTACATCTAGATGAGCTAATGTTGTAAAAATAAGAAATACGAAAAAGCCATCGGTAACTGGAGCCAGAATTCTGGGAACTGGAGCCAGAATTCTGGGAACTGGAGCCAGAATTCTGTAGATTTCTGCAGAATTCGGTTAATCCCCAAGGGGTCCTCGATGGCTGCCATGTATTTCTTACATCATTTTTATCTATAGTTTACGATATTAGCCCATCTAGATGTAAGGTTGCTGAGATGAGAATTAGTCCGGAATTAAACTGGTCCTTAAGTGTCAAAATAATCTTATAGTTGAAGAGGACTGAGTGATCCAGTTGAAAATTCAGGTCCTCTTTTTTTTCTTTATTTTAATTTTTTTTCCCTATGTAGAGAACAGTTGTGCCATTTTTATTTAGAGTAACTCTTGTAACATTTTAAATCTTGATTGTGGAAATCAATAATGAGGAATCAGAGTAGATTTTAAGATTATTCTTTGCAATTATAATCTGTTGTACATCAATCATTTTCCCCTCTGTTGGCCTGAGAATTAGATAATGCAGCGTTCGTAGTTGAAGGTCTTTCTGAATGATACTAGTATATTGTTGAACAATTCCCTATGGTGTATTTCTTTCTTGAATTGTAAACTTGTTCAACATTTTCTGTTAAAACATGTCTTTTTGAACTCTTCGTCTCCAGGAAAACTACTTTGGAGCTGACATGAAGTTTACAGACTTGGCTCGACACGGGCGAGACCCAGACAAAGTTGAGGAGGAGGGGACCGCTCAACTGGAGGAGCTTCTGGCCAACCTGGTCACACTGCGCCCCCTGGCAGTTACTGTGCAGATTGCAGTCAATGATGTGACTGCCAGAATCCCTCGGGTATAACACATTCTTCCATCGTATCATCATGATATCATTATTATGATACTAGTAGTAGAATGGATGCTATGTCTTAAGGTATCACAGCAGAGTTGTTCAAGGCTCTTAGAACTGTCCTTCCATCTATTCTTACTGATTGCTATGTCTGAAAATCTTATTTTTATGTAAGGCCACACTGACTTAATTTTATGGATGACATCCGCGCGCGCATTGATTTTTGCACCAAAAAAAAGATCACGTCCACCGAGCTCTAGGCCTGGCTCAAGGCCTGGGTAGTCTATGGTAGTTAGCGACAATACGGAGCCGGGCACCCAGGCTATTGAAGAGCCACGACTCAAGAACTCAGTACATATTATGTACAGTGCCGATTCATACATTCTGCAAAAAGCCAGTATGTGCCGGCTTGTCATATACGTTGCTAAGTACTGCCACAAATTCACATTACCTACTTTATATTCCTGTGGTTTAGTAGCATTTTTATTTTTGGCTGGAATTTTTTTTGGCTCGTGCACACTACTTTGGGGGTGTTCAGAGGATGTCATCCATAAAATTTAAGTCTGTGTGCCCTAACTAAATATTACATGTATGTACTTTCTGTGTGTAGCAATGCAGTCCAGGGGATCCACCGTGCCCAACCCTGCACTTTGACAAGCTGTGTTTTGAGATGAGGAAGAACTACTACGAGACGTTACTGCAGCTGCACATATCCCCTATCACAGCCTCCATCACCGATAATATCAAGGTAAGGCCGAAACACTGCTTTTTGGATACAGCAAGGAGTAATCTAGTAATTCAATTGAATTGGGGCGTAGCTGTAGCGTCTTCGGCCCAGACTCGAGAGGGCGAGGGTTCGAATCCTGCCCGATGCCACTGACGTTGTACACCTGGGAAAGGCGCTTTACGCGACCTTCCTCACTTCACTGACTCAGGTGTTAATGAGTACCTAGCTTCGGTTAGGGACGTCCCTCGGATAGGACATTAAATGGAGGTCCCATGTTTGGGAGAGCCACACCCCACACACGTTAAAGAACCCACCGCACTTATTGAAAAGAGTAGGGGACCTTCCCGGTGTGAGTGGTTCAAACCTTACAGTCTGGTCCCGGGGTTGACATCTTTGAAGAGGTGATAGTCGCCTGTTATGTCAATCATTCTACAAATGTGGTAAATCGTCATCATCGTCATAAGAAAATTCAGAATGTCAACCTGGTACTGCTACATGTAGATTTCTCTTGTTAAAGTTGTTTTCATTAAGTATGATCTACCAGCCTGATGAAGCTTTAAAATTTAATGAAACTTACTAAGAAACAGACTTTATAATGTGAGCACTACCAAATCTGTTTTGATGCTGTTGTTGTCTGCATACAGGTAGTTAATTTCAACAACAAAATGTTCTCATGCTAAATTTTTATCAAAAGACTGCCCGCCTCAGAAATTAGAATGTTTCAATGAATGAATGAATGAATGAAGGGTTGAATGAAAGATTTATTCATCAACTAGAGAAGTAACATTTGCACCTTCGGACATGGTATGCCCTGTTAATTCTTACTCAAACACATTTCACATTCATGTACTACTAGACTAAGTATATTGTGACAATAGCAGAGCAGACCATGAAATTGCAACATTATGTAACCCAACACCAGTCACCATGGTGACAGACGTCAACAAATCATGTCATTGGTCTGGTCAGAGGTTAGTGTTTGGAACAGAAGACTGAAGAGGAGGAAGAAACTGAGTAAAAACAATTATATATATTTTCCTTCAGTAGACATAAAAAGTATAGCAGCCATAGGCTAAAATGCATTGTTTCACACATAATAGACTGTAAAAAGTAGACTTAAAAAGTACATACTTTAAAAGATGTAGAAAATAGATGCCTTTTATTTGTTCCAAACAGAGACCGATGTCTGAGGCGCACCTGAAGGATGGACAGCTGCACCTGTCAGGGTTACAGATGCGGGGACACGCCATGTTCTCAGACAAGGACCGCCCGCTGGGCAGCGAGACGTTAGAGTACGCCTGGCTCGTACAGCTGCAGCTGGGTGAAATCAGCGGCAAGATCACACCTCCACATGTAAGGATCTTTTCTTAACAGCCTCCATGCAGTTAACTAGTAATTCTAGACTTCCAGTTTAATTCAGGGGGAGCAAGGGGCCAGTACCTGGCCTGATCACATAGACAGGCAGGCAGGTAGGCAGTTTAATTCCAGACTAATTCTCATATCTCAGCCACCTTACACCTAGATGCATGGGCTAATATTATATAATAGTAAACTGTAGGTAAAAGTGAAGTACCACTAGTTAGTGTTTCCTTCTGCTATTTTTCTTGGGGATTTCTGTGGTACCGGTGTGTATTTCTAGATCCGTTGATTTCCATATTGTACAGTCATGTACAAATCTGATGAAACATTTGTGGATGAAATTTGCTGAATTCGGATGAGTTTTTAGAAGGCCTTGTGCTTTTTTAATTATGCTTTAGTGTCATACTGACAGGTTACAGAGGTTATACTAACAATATAGCTGCTTACTATTAGTATTAGTCATTTCTTGCCAAAGCCTTCCTGCATTTACTCTGTGTTTGGAACAGTACTGAATCGTCCAACAGTTAACTGTGAACTAACCATGACCTGTGTTGGCAAATTAATGATTAATCCAAACCGACAACACAGTTCTCTTGTTGCAGTAGGACCAACTAAAAACCTTTTAATTTACTCATGAATTTTAAACAATCTATAGTTACTCACTAATTAATAAGCACCTGTAGGTTTCACAAAAGGACAATGCTGGGTGCAACTTTAACCCTTAGGTATTGTACATGTATGTATCAGGTGCAGTTCCTGCCATAAATACACAACAGAGCAGACAATGATTAATGATTACAAGCAGGTCCGGACCTAACCAAAGGTCACACATCAACCGGTTTCGGTAACGTGACCTTCATTATGCAGAAAGCTTAAGAAGAACGTTGCTATTCCATCAGATTTTGTCCAGATTTACGGCATAAGAGCCTTCTTGTGACAAGAATTTTATGCCAAAAATTCCATCTGCAATTGAGCCAAATTGAGGATTCATTTAATTTGGAAATGGCTTATGTTTTAAAGTTCTTTTTTTGTGTATTGGGTAAAACTTGTTGTAAACACGGAGTTCGTTGTAGAATTTTTGGTATTATTTGTATGGCAAACCTTACACAAGGAAATGAGTGTCTAGTAAGATTGTTAAAATATCTCACCAGTTATAACTGAGTTGATGAAATCTTTGATATCCTGAATTATTATGAAAAAAACGCTCCTATGTTGTAGCTGTACTACCGATGGTCCAAACCACAAACAAAAGCCTCTGCTTATGTCTGTGGTTTATATATGATGAAACGCAGCCTTAGCTATTGGCCGCGCAGGCCTTGGGGGACCCAGACTTCGGTCTGGGGACAAACCTCGGACTTCGGTCCAGACACATTGAAGACTGAAGACGAGCATTGGAAAGAACATCGCATACGAGTTATACAAACCAGAACCCACCGTGTTCAAAGCATGTTAACCGCAAGCAAACGTATTGTTCAGAGCATGGAAACTTTACAACCATTGTCAAGCCTTACGTCACTGTTACTGTTGAGCAAACCCTCCTACATTGTTGAAGTCATTATGAAACCTTGTGAAAGCTTACATACTGTGAACGAGAAACCCTACGCGACCTACGTACTGTGAACAAACTGGACGGTTTGGGGGAGCCATTGAGATCCTACGTCTTCAGCCTGGTTAAACCCCCCGTGAAATCTAACCTGCGTTTGAATGAGTCCGCGGTTGCCTGCCGTCCGAGTGGCGACCGCAGCCGTGGACTGATACGGCCACGATCTCGATGGTTCCTTTTGCTTCTGATTGTAAACTACTTGTACATTAAGCTGCTATACTAGCTAAGCTTTCAGAGTGCTGCCATTGTATCACCAGACAAAAGGACAAGTCTACAAGTGACTTTCAGCAGTGTTACAGCTTTTGGAACTGAAAAGAAATTACAGATGCTGTATTTAGCACATCTCTTTATATTGACTTTTCTTTGAATGTGGCAGTCATAAGATACAAATTAACAACATTGGGGACTGATTGATATCCACTGTATTATCTTATCTTGCCTTGTTTTTTAACTACCCGTTCAGTAAGAAGTGTGTAGCAGCCATCAACGTGCAAGTTTGCATGTACCTGAAAAAAAGTATTTCGAGCGATGTTAATACCAATGCATTTTTTCCCACAGATTGAGAGTATCGTTGACGTGTTGGAGACTGCTCTGTTCCTGTTTGATGCCAGCGAGTCAGACTTCATGCGCCCGCTACCGTTTGAGTTCTGCCAACACGACAATCCCCAGCCCAGCTGTCCTTACAAGGACGACTACCCCTTCCCCTGTCCTACAGAGTTCCTGGTCAAGTACAAGATGCTAACCCTGGAGGTTCAGAAGGTGGAACTGTTTGTGGTGGAAACTGGCTGTGCGTGTCAGCTTCAGGTAAGGCTTCTTCCTGCAGTGTAGAAATTCCTAAAAGGTTTAAAACAAAAATTATGTAACCATGCTAAGCCTGGAAATGTTAATGAACATTAGACATCCTTGTAATAAGAAACACATTCAAGGAATTTTTACTCAAGCAACTGGTCATGGATACAGTCATGCCTTCAAATTTCAGAGTTATCAAGTTGAATCAAGAATTAAGGTGGTCAAAAACTCGTATTTTCCACGAACTATGATCGTAGAGTGGATTGCCACCAAGCACAGTAGGGGCATCATCACTAGAAAGCTTTAACTCACTACAACTCCTGCAATTAAACGTGCAAATTTGGTGTAACAAGTTGTTTGGTGTAATGTAGCCAGCTGCCGCCGTACCATATGTGCCTGCAAAGCTGGTGTGTTATGCCGAAGGGCAGTTATACCGGCTATACAGATACAGAATGATACAGATTAGACAGATTTTGAAAACTGTCAGACATTTCATGTAGAAATGTAGCATTCACTACTTTTTGTCAGTGACTGGAAAGTTGCAAAGTCAACTGCACATGCAGGACAGCCAGCATTCTAATTTTATTCAATTTGAAAGTTTGCTTGTTTAAAATTGTAACTTCCATTTCTTTTCTCAAACAGACCAGTTCTGTCCACATCTCCAACTGTAACCTACACAGCCCTAAAGTAAAGGAGGGCATCACTGTGGCCATCCCAGAGCTGAAGATACATCAGTACATCACCCAGACCTCCCCCTGTACCTTCAACCACTCCGCCCCACCCCTGGGGAGACTGGGAGGGGCCAGCCCCACCCCCCAGCCTCTCTGGTTAGAGGCAGGCAGTTTCTCCCTGGGCCCCATACACACAGAGGTGGCCTTAGCTATCGAATGTCTGGAGCTACAGCAAGCTCAGGATGACTTTCTGAGGAACCACGACAAGAAGTATCAGAGGTACATGTATCTACTAGAAGTCAGACATCTTTACCAGCATCTTTCATTGACTAAGCCACACCAATTTAATTTGTTGGTTCTCGCATTTTTTCAGAGAAAATATAAAGCGACAGGGCGGAAAAAAAATTGATTTTATTAATTTAAAATCAAAACAGGTCTAGGCATCCTATTATAGCCCCGAATGCTACAATAGGAGCCATGAAGTCAACACAAAAGGCTAGGTTAATATTTACAATGAATTTTGAATTTCTAATCAAACCACTGCATTGATGGATGGAAAAGCTGAGTTTTGGGGGGCTTTTCCGGATCCAAAAGCCAGGACGCGAGCCTGAATCAGATCAACTAAAGAAGGGCTAACATTCTGATGTTGGTTATTTTTCTATTGTCCCAAAAATGTCCCGAAGAGACTTTTTAGTTGTCCCAGCCTAAATTTCAGTGGTCAGTGGCCATCGGGACACCATTAATTTTGAGCCCTATTGTGTACAACTGTTTCTACTGTCTTGTTCCTTACTTCCCCAGACTATGGTTCCTGTGGTCTCCTGAAGAGATGGGTCTGACCAGGGAGGTCATCAGCAAGTGTGGGTGTCATGGCGGCTGTATCTTCTTCATCTCCTGGCAGGAACCAATCACACAGGAGAACAGGGAGGCAGTCAGACATCAAGTACGAATTCTCTTACTAGTAGAACATCTATGCCAATAGAATGCTCTATACATGTATATGGTGTCCTTTGGTCAGTATTGACCATAGTAAAATCCTAATTGTTGACAGCCCAACAGCTTTATAGCTGAACAATCCTACAGACTGGTACATTGGTGTCAGTTGACTCTAGGATGTTTAGTCTTTCCTCTAATCTTGTTATTACCATGTACATACTGTAAATGTTGGTAGTTCATAATTATATTATAATTATGTCATAGATTGTTTTAATGTTGAACTTCAAATTGCTATTTTTAGGTAATTAGTATGTAACAATATGGATTTTATTGATTTTAATTTGTTAAGCTAGAAATGTTAGCTAAGAAGGCAAATCTGACAGCAAAACGCAATTTAGCCAATGGCTACAAGCTCTTTTTTTAACAGTTGATTGATTGATTGATTGATTGATTGATTGATTGATTGATTGATTTATTGATTTATTGATTGATTGATTGATTGATTGATTGATTGATTGATTGGTTGATTGATTGATTGATTGATTGGTTGATTGATTGATTGTCCACTAAAGTAAGTGTGATGATCAAAATATTATACAGTTATTGAGATCCATGTACATGTACCTTCATTTTGGTCAGGCTATGTGTTTATGTTCAACTTGTTGTTCCTCAGCAAGGGAACAAGTCATGTAGGTCAGAAAATGTGTATGACAAAATGGAAGAGATACTTGAATTCATGTACATTTGTACATAACAGCCATGATAGTGTTTGTGTTAACTTTGATATTTACATATAATACAATGTACAATGTATCTTCCATGAAGGCACCAAAGTACGGAGAGAGTCTGTTTGAGCCAGGCATTCCAGCTCTCTGTCGCAACAGCCGCTGGAAAGCTTCTTACCGAGACTTGGACCTGAGACTGGACAGTAGAACCTCTGGTAGGAGGTCAGAAGACACTCTGTCCACTACCAAGGAACTTAACTCCTCCACCGAAACACTCAAGGCTACCCCGGGTACCAGAGTGTCCACATGTACAACAAGCTCAACTACTACCACGTTAAAGGGTGGTTCAGTGTCTGAGCCAGGTTAGTCTGCTGTGTAGTAGCCTGGGTATCATCCTGCTTAGGCTGGTGGGTAGCAACTACTAGTACCAGACACTCAAAGCAGACTTTAACTTACCAGGATGGTACATGTATATACCTAGTCTAACAGATAGGAAAAAAGATGTTGAGTTTCCTGTTTCCCGACCTACCCTAGAAAAAACTGCCAACACTAGCCTTTTTTTGTGGACCCCTGCAAGGAACATGAATTTTTTCTAGCTCTATGATTTGACACCCGAGAAATGAAATCTGTTTTCCAACATTGACGTTGAGAAGTGTCCTCATCATGCATGTAGATTGTTAAGAATATGCTATATACTAACTATACATTTAACATCTTTACATAGTATTACGTAAAAACCTACAAAAATATTTGGGTGCATTGGTGTACCCACAGAAAAAATTGGGTGCACAGCTCCAAATTTGGGTGCACTATGGTGCACAATGTATTTCAAGCCTTTTCTGTCTGTACTTAGGAACTCCTGTAGACAACAAGTCCCCACTGCTACTGCAGCACCAGGCTGATCTGGTCAGCCCCGGCAGTCCACAGGAGACTGACCCTCTCCTGGTGCAGCCAATCACCAGAGGACGTCTGGGCAGCGACAAGAGCCAGGTGACCACCGCCACCGACAAGTCCAGTAGCCAGACCAGCGTCCACTTTGCTTCCGAGCGGTCCTACATCGCCGAATCCCTGCCCCGGAGAGCCGGGTCCAAACAGTCAGTGCAGAGCGACCTTCCGTTGTACCGTAGCCACCACACGCTGACGTCGGGCAGCTCCATGGTGTCCGTCGAGTCGTTCTACTCTGCCGACGAGGAACTGGGGAGCATCACGAGTGAGGAGGTGATTTGTTTGACACATTGAAGAGGTTCATCAGTCACGTATGATTTTTAAGAATTAGTAAAAGTCTCAACGGACCTAGTCTCGTGTTCTCGCAATAGGTGTGAAGGGCCTGCCAGGGATTCGAACCCATAACCTTCAGATTCTGAGCCCACAACCCTAACCACAAGACCACCTTGACACCTTTTAGAGCACTCTGTAAGGTACTCTTATATACATGTAACACATCATTAATACGAGTTTATAACAGATTGTATGTCTGTCTCTTAGGTGTTCAGCGGGCGAGACATCCGGCAGTTACACGCAGCTACCAGATCCGTAAAAAGCACGCCGCTCTTACACAAACGCAGCATCTCCGTGGCCTCTAACCAGTCCTTCCTGTCGGCAGTGTCCACTCAGGAGGACCTGGTCGACTACGACATTTCCGAAGACGTTTCAGTCGTAAACATGCCGATAACGGCAGACGGAGACCTGATGTCGTTATACGCCAAGCACCTGACACAATGCGAGGCTGTGAACTGGAACCCTACACAGGCTGGAAACGCAGCCGCAAGAGCGGCTGTTGTAGAGGAGGATTGTGGGACGAAAAGGACCAATCACATCAAGACAAGTTGGAGCGAATGCCCACCCACACTTCCAGTCTTCAACACGTTAAACAGTGGCATTTCTTCTACAACAGGTTAGAAAAATGTGTTATGTAGATAAAACATATCTTTCATATCCCGTCTGTACAAGTCCTCAAACAACATTATCCAATCTGTTCTCAAATCCAATGTAATATTCCACAACAGATTCTTTCGCAATATCGGGGCCCGTCTGTACATCAGGTTTGATTCTAGAGTCTGACGTATTTTTACTGTTGTTACATTTGTATTATGTGTATTTTTATCTATATTATGTTTTATATGGTCGAATCATGCCTGAAATAAAGAAATTTTGCTTCTTACACCAAAGTTGTTACTTCAATAGTGTTAGACAGATACATGTACATAATACCTACAATGTACATGTATGGAGTATTTGACACTTATTATTTGTATAATTAAAGTTTTGTCCATCTAAATTGTAATGTTTGCCATCACGTGTCCCTAATAAGCTAACAGATATTTTTGTTTCTCGTGTTCAGTGGTTTATAAGGATGAAGTTGATGGAATGCACGGTGGAGAGTCACGTCAGTCATTTGACAAGTCCAGACAGGGTTCATATGAAGAGGACTGCCCAACAACAGGAACTGGTCAGTAACATACATGTATCATCCTGAAATTACAGCTCGAAAACAATTAAATTTCACAAATGGAACAATTGAAAGCTAAAGCCCCGGGTCACAACCCGCCGTGCATGCTTTTTGTCCGTACGTTTTTTGGGAGGCCACGTCTGCTACGTTTTTCTGAAAACGTGGGGAAGGAGTGGCGTCCACGCACGTCACTCGCACGGCTGCGCAAGGTGTAAGAGTGTGATCTGCACGCCACACGTCTGGCTGTGAGCGGTTGCGTGCATCGTTCGTTGCGCAAGTGGTAAATGAGTTGTACGTACTTACAACGTACGATCTCTGTGCGATTGCAACTTTCCCGTAAAGAGGCCGTACTCACACGTGCGTCTTATGTACGGTACGTACGGGGCACACACGTCGCCCGTACTTGCACGTACGGGTGGTGATTCCGCAGACCGCACGTAAAAAAAGTTCTACGGCGTGTCTGCGTGCCCCTAAATCCGTAGGATTCCGTACGGAGGTGGTACTCACCACGCACGGATGCCCTACGTTTGCCCACGTTTTTGCACGTAGACAGCACACAGATACACGTACGGCGGGTTGTGACCAGGGCTTAATTGAGCTGTTGCAGTATGGTAAATCAACACGTTTGAATAAATTTAAAAGTTTCATGCCTAATGTTTTAACCTGATGATTTGCAAGGGATGTAAGCAACATGTAAGATGCTGATGTTTACTTTTCCTTTGATGTCCTCTCACAGGAGACAGTTTAGAAGACCATGTGTCTAAAACTGGAGCCATTGTAAAAGTGAAGGGCTCCATCAACATCCTGCTGTCTCCCCTAGCCCTGGAAGCCACAGAAAGGTCAGTATGCAGGGCTTGAAATACTTTTGAGGTACGTGCAAGATTGCATGTTGGCAAAAATTATAGGACTGGTGCAATTTGAAAAATTTATGTGCAAAATTATACTTAGTCAGTCTGCAACTGTTTTCTAGCTGGTTTCAAAGTGGTATACGATTTCTTTTCCAGTGGAAGGATCCTGCAAAATGTATGTAAGCCCTCAATAAATTAAATTAACCTTTAAAATGCAAATCTTTCAAACAAGAATTTTTTTATTTTATTTTCCGTCATTTTTATACAGGGTAACCCAATTCAGTGATGGCACTGCTTTTCAACGGGGCCCTGTATTACACAGCACAATACAACAATCACATACAAATAATGACATTAGCATACAAAAATTATACAATAAATAATTATAATGGCAATGATAATAACGAAAACAATAAATAAATTATAATGGCAATGATAATAACGAAAACACAGTAATTAACCAATAACAGTAATAAATAGTAATAATAACAAAAAATACATCATTGTCCAGTCCAGTCATTGTCATTGTCCAGTCCTATATGTTGGCATGGAGGGGTCAGAGGTCAGGCCAATTCTTACATTTCATTTTAAAAATGGACATGGACGGACAGGTCTTAATAGCAGTTGGCAGCCTGTTCCAGAGGGCAGGGCCTCTGTAGGAGAATTTGCGCTTTCCACATTCAAGGCGAACAAGCGGCAGTTTCAAAGATAGGTTCTGGCTGTGTCTGGTGGGGTATCTGTGGGATTCAAAAGCCATCTGGAAGTTATCTATGTAGTCTGGGAGTTCATTGTTGACTGCCTTGTACATTGATTGTAGCAGGTGCAAGTTTCTCCGGGATGATAAAGTTTTCCAACCTAGGGTAGATAACTCACCATCGCCAACATGATGTGTATAACGTAAACGAAGGATAATTCTCGCTGCCCGGTTCTGGTATTTTTGCAATTTGTCAGACAAGCATTTACCACAGTTTCCCCATATCACATCACAGTAGTCTATTTTAGGTAGGACTATACAGTTAAACAACATTATAAGAGTGTGTTGGGGCAGACATGGGATGAGGCGTCGTATGACTCCCAGTCTGGAAGAGACCGCATTACACAACTTGTCAATGTGAACTTGCCATGTTAAGCTGGAGTCAAGCCAAACGCCAAGGTACTTATAACTGGAAACAACTTCCAAAAATGGTGCCAGAAAGGATAACTGACAATTGTTCTGTAACTGACTGCAGCCTACGTGTGGTTCCAAAGAGCATAGCTTTGCATTTATTAACATTGAGAGTCAGTTCATTTGTTTCCAACCATGTCTCAATATTACGAAGATCCGCATTGAGAGCATTGTTTACATCTGTGACTGTCTTGGACGCATAGAAGAGAGCAGTATCATCTGCATACAATACAACATGTCCATTTGATATATAGTCAGAACAAATATCAAAAAGCAAAATTGTTGCATTTCTCGGCATTAGCTTTTAAATTAGTCTTCCAGGGAAAACCAAGTGAATCCCCCGTCCCTACTTAGAGACTAAGGTCAATACAAAACCAGTTTGAAAGTTTGGTTTGAGCGTGGGGTCAAAGAGGCGGTACACATCAGGGCCCTCTCCCCATCCTTAAACCGTGACCAAGGCCGCCACTGACTACCCCCCATCTACAACACACTCGTCCAGTCACGTGACCTGTGTTAACCTTTCAACCCCTGGGTCACGTGACTGCCCCTTGTCATAAGCTAAAGAAGATGGTGGATGCTGTTTGAAAGCTTCTACACTGACAGAACTTTTGTCGTGTGTATTAGTTTTAATCCTTCCTTGGACTACAGTTTGAACATGAACTCCTCTTCCTGACACAGGCTAGTAGAAGCTGCCACCCCCCAGCTGCTGACCCTGCATGCCTCAGCAGTGGTGGACAAACTGCACAGTAAGTGTCTGCGGGAGGTGCAGTGTCAGAACAGGCTGTCTGCCGAGGGGAGGGCCGCAGGCAATTGCAACGGGAACGGGGACGAAGGGTCAGGCATCCCCACCAGCAAGACATCAAGTCTGCAGATCCTGGTGTCAGTTGCAAGGGTAAGGAGGCAGGAATCAGTCTTAAGGGGGCACACCCCAGTTTCTTTGGCATTTCTATACGAAGCTGCACACCCTCAAGTCTAGCGACCGTCTCTGCCGTGGAATAATTCGGAAGGAGAATAACTGTAAGTACCAAAAATTACAGGACTGCTATCTTTGATTCTTATCATATTCTTACAAAATGAAAGAAAACTGTGATGAAGAGAATTTATTAAACGAGAGGCAAAGCAGAGTAGGTAGGGTAATTCTATAGGCTGTGACTGGTACACCAGCAACCCAAGGGGTAAAAAAAATTAACTAGAAAGGTAACATTTGGAAAGCAAATTTATAATGTTTACAATATTGTACCTTCGCATATGGTCTGCTCTGTTAATTCTTACTCAAACACATATATATGGTGACAGGAGTCTAAATCCCTCCTGCTATAAAATTGCAACATGATGTAACCCAACACCAGTTACTGTGGTGACAGATGTCTGGTTCAGGTCATTGACCTTATTTGGAGAAAAAGAAGAGAAAACAGAGCAAAGACAATATGTTTTCCTTTGGTAAACATAATTATTATTATTATTATCATTAATAAAAATATTTCCTTCCAGATCAACATCTCCATCCTGCAAGCGTCAGTTGCTGGCTCCAAGTCAGACCTGTACCTGCAGGGTCCGTGTGCATCCCTGGCCGTCCTGTCTCTGGACTCCATCACATGTCAACTGCTACACTACAGCCAGTCACTGAAGGCCGGCGATGACGAAGACTTGTTACCAGACAAGGAGGTTCCCGAGAAGAAGAAGAGGAAGAAGGATAAATACAGGCATGGAAGATGTCTGGCTTGCATGGAAGATGCCTTATTTTGGTTTAATTTAATCTTTTCTGTTGGTTAAAAGAAATATTGCCTTAGGCCACACCAATTTGATTTCTTGATAACAGATTTATCCACTTCATTTTTTTTTGATTTGCAAAAAAAAAAATTCAGAATCAACTGCAAAATGCTCATATTTTGCCCTAAACAGTTGAAAATAGTCCTTTTCTTCCTGGTTGTTACAGTTATTCAATCTTTCAATGCAATGGTATCATTAAAAATTCAAAATTCATTGTTTAAATTTTGAACCACCCTGGTGTGTTGACTTCATGGCTCCTATCGTACCATTTTGCGCCATAATAGGATGCCTAGGCCTGTTTTTTGTTGTTTGTTTTTTTCGCCCGCCCGCTCCATTATTTTTCTAGAAAAATCCATTAACCAAGAAATTTAATTGGTGTGGCCTTAGCTAGCAGCTGTTTGAAATTCGCACAAAGAATGGCATTTGTCGATGAACGTTACTTGACATCAGCGAATAAGATGAAAAAAAAGTTACTCAAGCAACTGTATATGATTTCAGAGCACCCACTACCTTTCATCAGTGATACTTGTGATATTAACAGGTTATAACCACAAACTATTAATTGATATGTAAATAGATTGAAGCTAAATTGTTGATAGTCCAATAAGAAACAAAGGTTAGACAAAGAATACCTTTGCATAATTTTTAAAATAAATAATTATTATTTCAGCTAAAAATGTAACAAAACAACAAAATCTCTGTAAATTCCAGTAGCCAGGTTGGTAGTGATGGTGTGGACAGCATGCGTGTGAGAGAGATCCAGAAGGAAGAGGGTGCAGCCTATATCCACCTGGACAGGATTCATGGCCAGCTCAGGTGTCTGTCTCCCTCCAACACTGAAGTCTGCACCTTTACAGCTATTCCTACTGACAAGTCCAAGGTAAACATACAATCATGTACAAGGCTCCTTTCATTAGCATGAAAGCTCATCTGTTCTAGTAACGTCTATAATTCCACAGTACGTAAACTGTATAGATGACATTCGTGGACTGCAAATCTAATGCGATAGGGAAAAAAAACTGCAGGCCAAAAAAACAAGATTCCTACATTTTCAAATTTTGACATCATCAACCTTGTTAAACCTGAAATGATACCTATATTGTGCCAACTATTACAACATCCCTTTCTCACTGACAACTTTGTAAAATGTTTTTAATCATTGTACAAATGGTTAATGGTTTTGATTCAGTGTGAACATCACATATACACTGCCACCATCACATATAAAAGGAATGAATTGAATCAATTGGAAGTAAAAGACAAAAGATTAAATCAGAACCTTGAGGCTATCTACATCTCAACCAAGACACCTGTCAGGTATTTGAAGAGCAACCAAAACTTTGATGTTGGTTAGTACCAAAGTATCAAAACTTCAGAAGGCTCCTTTCATTTGGAATATCGAGCTGTAGGCCGCAAAGACTCTCTGAACATGTTGGCCTTTCAACATTGAATAATGCCATGTATAACACACTTGTTCTTCCCGTAGGTCATGTTTCTGGTGCAGCCTGGAACCCAGCCAGTTAGGACGAGCCACGAGAGCCTGGCAGAGGAGGCCAGAGACACGCTTCACCAAGAGACCTGCTCCCAGATGGTGGCCCTCCAGGGCGGCTGGATCATGTTCGAGTGCGGTCTGGAAGACATCACCATCCGCGGCGGCCGCAGAATCGGTTTCGAAGAAGCCGAAGACAGTCCCGACTTCCACGGGAAGTCCGCTTCCTCTACCGTGCCTCCAGAAGAACCGACGTCGGATTCGACGGAAACGATCGACTCCACAAAAACGGTGTGTAACAGCGACAGTTTCAGCTCGCACAGATGGCGGTCGCTGGATGAGATGGAGAATGGGGAGGAGGAGATAGTGGCTGAGCTGAAGGGGGATGCCAGTAACGCTGTGGTCTCCCTAAATACCGTCTGGCTCAACTTTGCCTCACCGTCTTCTTCAGCACAACACAGACAGACTGAGGATATAAGGTGATGGACAATCTTCCAAAATTATGATATTTGTACATAATTTTATATACAGTCAAATCTGTCCAACCCAGGCCAGGGGACTAAAGAAAAGTGGCCACCTTGGACAGGTGGTCTCCTTGAAGAGGGTCACCTCACAACATGACTGAGACATGATTTTTTTCAAGTCAAGATGTTTTGATGTCAAATGCTGTAAGCATCTTCAGTTCTGTGGTGAATGCATGTGGGGAGGGTGGCACATGGCACAATTTTAACACGTCAAAGAATTTCTCTATGATTCTCATTAGTTATCCTCAACAATCAACATTATTGAAAATTATCATCCTGTATTCCGCAGCACCCTGGACTACACCCTCCTGACAACTGTGGCACCGACCATCTGTGCCTGGCTGTCCCCAGCAGACCAGCTTAAACAGGCTCTACACGATCTGGCACACGGCTACAGACACAGGACCTTCGCTGTCATCGGCTGCATCATGACAGACGCACTGGAGTTCCAGGGTCTTCACATGTCCTCAAAGGTAAGGCCTAGGGAACAAAATGTTGTGTTTGCTGTTTCAGTCCAGTCCTGAAAAAAATTGGGTCGGTAGGTAGGGAATCCGATGATCTTTTTTTTAATGTTTTTTTGGTTAGACTTTTAGTGATATCTAAATAAACATATAGGGTAAAGTAAAACTTGCATGAGGACACTTTTATATATGTTCAATATCAATGTTAGAAAACCAATTGTACAACATTTTATCACTCGGGTCTCAGATCATGGAGTTAGAAAAGGTTGATCATCTCGAAAATATGTCCCTAGCAGGGGTTTACCCCCCAAAAAAGTCTAGGGTCGGCAGTTTTTTCTAGGGTTGGTCAGGAAACAGGAAAAACAACATTTTTTCCTAGTAGGCCTAAGACACTGGTTCAAAAGTGATACTAATGGAAAGGGCCATAATGATTTTAACAATCTACATAATTAACATTCCTCAAGGAAAGTGTTTATCAACTTGATTGTCCTGTTCTCAGCATAAATGCAACATCTTCTTATGACTTTCTGCTAAGATGTTTATTTCTTACCCCTAGAGCAAGAATTACAGCAAACTGACCAACAGCTCCAGAATCCTGCTCGACAACCCCTCCTGTCGACTCATGACGGTACTGCGGAAGTACATCAACAAAATTGACATTACAGGTGAGTAATCATCATCTTATACATGTATACTGCTTAGCCCAATTTGCGTTGGATTACGAGCAGCTGCACATGTGTTAGTTACAAAACAGGTGACCGGTACAAATGAAACAAGAGGAACTGAAGGAGGGGACACTAAGGAACATAAATAACTGAATCTGTGGGTGTAAAAGACAAGACAAGTGCATTTAGTGTGTGAAGAATGAGTGATAACTGCCATGAATATGTGCACTAAATTATCTTTTTCTACAATTTCCTAAGCCTTCATTTCCCTTTTTTCTCCCTTTTTGTCTTCATGTCTCTGACTTGTTTTCCAGAAAAAGACATCTTAATGTGGGCACAAGCACTCAAACAAAATGTAGAGGTAGACAATTCATATAGCTTATGGTTTGGAGGCCTTTATAACACTAAATGTCAGTCCTAGTACAGTCTGTTTGTGAATTTTAAAGCCGTTCTGACTTTCAGCCATTGAGGATGCAGTGAAGTCTAGCTCCATCCCACCCCTGTCTACCCTGGAGAAAGGCCTGGTGGCCCTGACTCGTCAGTGGAAGCACCTGGTCATCACGTCGGCGTTTGCAGGGATGGGCTTCACCAACCGCAGAAGACTGGCTCCCTTCACCGTCACCTTTCTGGAGCCAGAGACTCGGGACGAGGTGTTTTCTGAAGGGAAGGATGGAGAGCAAGGAGAGGGTGGGTTGAAGACTTGGATTTTTATGTCTACCGGAAGAAAACATATTATTTTTGCTCTGCTTCCTCTTCCCCTTCTTCTCCAAACAAATAAGGTCAATGACCTGAACCAGACGTCTGTCACCATTGTAACTGGTGTTGGTTTACATCATGTTGCAATTTTATAGCAGGAGGGATTTAGACTCCTGTCACCATGTATATGGATGAGTTTGAGTAAGAATTAACAGAGCAGACCATATCCGAAGGTAAACATTATGCATTTGTTTGCAAATGTGACCTTTCTAGTTACTTGCTGAATTGTTATAAGTTAACATAGACTTGAGTGCCATTTAAAAGTTACAGGTATGATACATGGATGGGACTTTAAGAGCATACATGTATCTTCTTCAGAAACATCATGCTTAGGAAGAGGTAGGGTAATTAAGCAAAATCACCATGTCACATTTTTAAAACACACCTCCACGGTGCTGAAACGCCTTCCGTTGAAGAAGGGACCAAACGTAACATCAGTGGGAGTGACATGATATGTACTTCAATTCATTAAAAAAAAGTACATGTACTTCAGATCTCTCAAAGAAACCTTCTCCACCTCATGGTGCTGAAATGCCTTCCACTGAAGTTGGGATCATCATATCAATGATAGGGACATAATTATATCATATTTCACTTCACTGAACAATGTGAGGTTTAAATCCCTGTATATTGCTGAAATGTCTTCCATTGGAGACGAGAACAAAGTTAACATTAACTAGAATGAAAGGTAACATTTGCAAAGCAAAAGCGTAATGTTTACCTTCACATATGGTCTGCTCTGTTAATTCTTACTCAAACACATTGGCATATATATGGTGACAAGAGTCTAAATCCCTCCTGCTATAATACTAGTTGCCATGGTGACAGATGTCTGGTTCAGGTCATTGACCTTATTTGTTTGGAGAAGAAGAAGAGGAAGAAGAAACAACATGTTTTCCTTCTGCGAAGGTAAACATGATAAAAGTTTCATGCACCACATAAAGTCAAGTCAAAATGTACAGAATTACAAATGTAAGTAGAAATAGATACATTTTTCTACAGCAGGAAATTATAGGCATCATTTGTAACTTTGTGTCTCGTAAAATGTTAATGTGATTAGCATGACAGCAGCTCAAAAAAAGAAATTAACTCACCAAAAATTTTCCACTGAGTCACTGTACCGCCCCCCATGAGGTACCAACCTTCACTCAACCGTGACGGGGGGCGGTACGGACTTCCGAGGAACTTTGACCCAGTGCTGACGTCACACGTGGCTAAAAAGTCACATGTCCACAGCACTTGGGTCATAAAGCTGATGAAGACTGAGCGATTCAGTCAAAAATTTCTGGTGAGTTAATTTCTTTTTGAGTTGGAGAACAGTTTAATTATGTTTACCAAAGGAAAACATATTGTTTTTGCTCCATTTCTTCTTCTTCTTCTGTTCCAAACACTAACCTCTGACCTAGCCAATGGCCTCTTTTGTTGATGTCTGTCACCATAGTAACTGGTGTTGGGTTACATCATGTTGCAATTTCAGAGAAGGCATTTAGGCTCCTGTCTTCATATACATGTATGTGCATGTGAATGTGTTTGAGTAAGAATTAACAGAGCAGACCATCACTCACTCACTCACTATCCGTGTTTAGATTATTCGAAACATATCCGAAGGTAAACATTTGCTTTGCAAATGTTACTTTTATAGTTTTCTTCATGTTTTTGTGATTGTCCAATATTTATCCACAGGATTTCCAGAAACAGACTACGATGCCTCAGAGCACACATTCCTGCTTGGCGCTGACGCCAAGGCGGGGATATCTGGAATAGACAACCTCTCTGGGATGGGAAACAGCACTGGTCTCCAAATGGACAAGAAACCCTCACAGATGAGCCTAGCCGACACATACAAGAGCGGCGACTCTGCTAGTGATATCAAGTCTAGAGGTGTGAAATATACCATACAGTGATGTACATGTGTTAAAAATTTATAACTGTCAATGGTGGTAAAAAATAAAAAGAGTTTTATGTTTGACTACATGTGACTAAATCTGTTTTTGTAAATTAGGCATGTTAATTGATTATAATGGATGGTGCGCGCATGAATTTTTGGCCGTTTCCAAGTTTCCAACCATATTGTAAATCGCACAAAACAGTTCCCAAATGAGCACATATAAACCGTAAGCTGAAAAAAAAACATTGGAAAATGATACCAATGTCGTAGAAAATCAAACGAAAAAGACGAAAGTGTAACGAAATGAATTTGAAGACTAGATTATTCGCCAAACCATACTCTGTGTCATTTGTTCAACCTTCAAAACCACATAGATTTCATAATGAAAGCAACTTTTTTTTTTGGCCAGACTTTTTTTATTTGCACGCTCGGATCAGTTTTTGGGTTCCATATAATGTCATCCATATAATCAAATCAACATAGCCTTACATGTACCTAGCTGTTTGCAACTTACATGTACACATGTATTGTGAAAAAGATGGAAACTTCTGCCCTAGGTCTATTATCTGTTATTATATTATTGTACTTAATAACATGCAGCAATGACAACTATACAGAAAGTCGTACAGTCTTTGTTAAGCTAACATTAAATTTCAGCACTCCCAAGCCTAGCAGGTAACAGTGCACAGTTTGTAATTGATGGTATAGCCTGTGGTATCTGTTGTATTTTGGAATAGATGCCAATAGACAAGCTGTGCCTCTTGTTGCCACCCTGTCGAGCACAGGATCCCTCCGGCGAAACCGCCACGAGAGCCAGGTCAGCCATGTCATGGGCAGCGTGGACAGTCTGGATGCCAGCGGGCCTAACACTCCCCAGAGGAAGCTCAAGGGCTCTTTCTCTCGTGCAAGTAAGACTCAGTTTTCAGCGTGCAAAATACCTGGTTGCCCAGTTGCCCCAGGCAACCAAATTTTACTATTTTTGAACCTAGGTAGCCCAGTGTGCTACCTGAATTTTAAGAATGCCCCCCCCCCAATCATGCCCACTTGGCTTGCACCACTGTATCCGGCAGATGCTTTTTAATAAAAGTATTAATGGCTATTACTAGTATGAATTAACTAAAGGCTGTTAGAAATATTGTCAAAGCCTTACATTGTATGTATGTAACATTACTTAATTTGAGGAAACTAGTAACTTATAGGTGGGACAACCTAAAATTCTGATGGGCAACCTAATTTTTGGTGTAGGTTGCCCAGTGGGTTCAAAAAAAGTGTTTTGTACACTGATAGAACACCCCCATCAAACTCCTTTTGAGTCATAGCCGGAAATTCATGCCATACCCGCGAAAAATGCTGGCCGTACCCGAAGATCCTGGCCGTATACATGCTAAAATTTCAAGGTCATAATACAGGCCTGAGATTCATTCCGTACCCTGTACATGTACCTTTCTGCCGTACCAAGGAAATTTTGCTGAGTCCAATTTCTTGTGTTGGAATTACAATAACTGTTTAAACTTGCTTCAAAAGGTTGAAAGCTGTAGTCTTGTCCCCAGGTGGAGCGTCCATCATCCCGCGGCTGACCCTGGATAAGGAGTTTAACCTGTACAGCTGGATGTCTGCTAGCCTGGCTGCCACACGCTCCACCTCTGTACCCATGCACGATGTGGAGATGGGGGGATTCAGCACCGCAGGGCCCGGAACTATCTCCAACCAGCCTTCAGGTAGGGTCAGGAAAGCACGTCGGCAGAACGTACTGCACCTGCGCGAAACCCATAATGTATTGTACATAGCATTTCGGCAGAACGTCTCATATAAGGTCGTATTCGCTCATATAATGTTACTATTTCGACAGTAGTTTCCAAATGTTATGTCGGAAAGAATATCCTCTGCAACAGACAAAATTCTGATGCAACGTTGACCGAAAACCCAATGAAAAACGCGAAAATACGGGGTTCTGTGCAGGCGCAGTACGTTCTGCCGATGTGCTGATCAGGAAATAGACACCCAGTTAGAACTTAACATTCTTCCCATTCAGTCACTCACTCGCAATACAGTTAAGCATCTGTTGTTCCCCATCTCTTCCGAGGGTTAGACGTGCTTGCACACCTTTGCTGAGGTAATACAAAATAAATCAAGCAACTGGATTAATTCCGTGAAGAATCAGGTGTTTCACACAGCATCTACATATTATACTATAATTATATAGAATACAACACGGTGTATTCTATATCGCCCGAGGTACATGTACCAGCCTGACCGCAATCCAACTCGCCAGAGGGCTGGGACTCAGGGTGATGAAGAATACACCATGTTGTATTGTATTTGATATGTCATACCCACCCAAGAAAACACGCCTTTCAATGCAAAATTTGGTGTCCCTTAACTAAAATTGCAACACACAGTCACGTTACATCAAATTATTCCAACGTCTGAATCCTGTATTCAAATTTTTGAAAGCGGTGCACGAGGTTAGCACAGAACAGATTCGAACGTTCTGTGGAAGCCATGGAAGTACCATGCGGCTCAGTCCAGAACACCGTTATTGAAGGTTATCACAGCCCGGGTATGATATACTTTTTATCAGTGACTGAAAAACATAGCAGATGCTGTAAGAGTATGAGGTTATTAAAGAGACATTTTCCTTTGACGTACATGATTGTGATGTGTTTCCTCTCCAGGCTACCAGTCCCTGGCCAGTGACAATCACAGTGAGCTGTCTGGTGTGACCAGTAACCCCAGTCTGTCTCCTAAACACATGGCTAACACTGTACAACTGGCAGACCCACAGGTCAGGAAACAATAAGGACTTATATCTCAGGTTTAGAGTTCTTCTGACTTCTACAATGTATGTAAGATTTAGGGGAACAGATCACTGTAAAGATGTCTTATCAGTAGTTCATCAACCATTGACCGTAAACAGTCTTTGCCTGAGATAGTGTCAACTTATATTTAGTAAATACACATTTTACACTCATCTGGTATAAAATTATCATGATTATCTCCAGTAATAGTATTTACAAGTATCTCGTTTATGTGTTACTATTATATATATAACTTAATTCACTCTTCGATATTTGTCTTTTCTTTTCTCTTTGCAACAGCATGGAATGTGCAGAATTCTGTAACTTCATTAATATCCAGCTGTAGTAAATATTTTGCAATTTTTGTCCTTCAGGTTATATTCCAGCCCCTCCTCAGCAGTCTGGGCATTGACACACAGAAACAGAGCGCCATGCCTGACGTCAGCAAGCTCCTCAGTAAGAACGTCGCGCTCACGGGAAAGCTGCGCTGTCTCCGCGTCGACATCGTGGACGCTGACCCCACCGGTTTCGCCGCGTGGAAGCCCAAGGGCAAGCCCAAAACCGAGAAGAAGTTCACTCGCTTCTTACTGGATATGAAGCCTCAACATCCAGCCTTGCTTTTCGAAGAGTTTATTGTAGAGTCTTCAATAAGGGACGTAAGCGGGAAAAAGACAGAGACGCATCAGACCAGCAACGACACAGAGGGGTCGGCAGCGAACCAAGGTAGGCGTCGGTCAACCGTCGCTAGTATCGAGTTCAACAAGGGCGACAACTGCGTGGAGGTTTTCTTCAGCGTACACTGTGAAGGAATCACGCAGCACGTGGACATGGCACTGCTGCAGCTGGCAAAGCAGTTCTACGCCATGACGGAACACATCAAACAGACCGAGACAGAGCTCAAGGTCAACAGGTGGGGGACATTTAGTTATGTTTACTGAAGGAAAACATATTGTTTTTGCTCCATTTCTTCCTCTTCTTCTTCTCCTGACCTGACCAATGACATGATTTGTTTTCTGTTGTTGGGTTACATAATGTTGCAATTTCATGATCTGCTCTGCTCCTGTCACCATATACTAGTAGTACATGTATGTGAAAGTGTGTTCGGGTAAGAATTAACAGAGCAGACCATGTCCGAAGGCAAACATTATGCATTTGCTTTGCAAATGTTACTTCTCTAGTTTAACGTTTCATTCTTTCAAAAGAACAGAGGAGTACAAACATGTGTCATCCCTACTTCTTAAAAAAACAACACAAAAGTAGAAATCCCAGTCAAAAAGACCTTTTTTTTGGTATTTCCATTCCAATCATTTAAGCACTATAGTTGAATCTTTACTGTTTGGTTTGTGCAGTTTGAATATTAATTTTCCTTGCCATTAATAAGGGATTATGCCCCCAAACCATCCCTTGGAAAATGATTTCAAAAAAGATATAGCAACTTAACCTTCTTCCTGCTGCCTAAGACCCAAACCAATACAAATTTGTTGCCAAAACACTTAATTCAGCAACGTTGATGTCTGGCATCTCCTTGAATCTTAATTCGTAAATTCAAATTCCGTATATATATGTTCTTGAAATGAGTCTTGACCACATTGAACACATCAGATTCTGATTATCATGAAAGTTCATCTGTGTTCAGTAATCATAGTAAAACATTGAACTTTATTCCAACACACAGTTTACACAGAGATCAAATTTTCAGCGACCACTGTCGCCTTCATCAGGATAATTAATGACCAATCACTTCACAACGTGATCTTGCAAGAGTTACAATTACAAACACGTGACCTTATTCACACAAGACTTTACTGATACGTGACGTGAGCAATTGATCAAAAGTGCCAGGGAGTTTACAATGTATATTGTCCACCATCTCTATTATTTAGTGATTCTGCATAATGATATCTGCTCTCATGTGTGACTGAAATTTTCTTACAGGTACATGGTGTCTGCTGCCACGGCCATCAACAGACCTGGCCATAAGAAACAGGACTCGCACGGGTCAGACCTGAGTGGCCAGAGTGGGGAGTCCCAGTCCCAGCCCAGTAACAGTAAACAGTCTGAGTCAGGCAGCCAGGCAGGCACAGACAACCAGCCACCAAAAACACCCATTAGAACCGACAGCCAGAGGAGCACTGCATCAGAGGGGAAAGTCAGCATCGAGCCAAAACGCAGCTTCACGCACAGATCCAGGCTACCCTCCCTCAAGGGTAGCCGCAGTAGCCTGAAGAAGAGACTAGCAAGCCCGCGGATTGGGAAGTCACTCCGGTACCACAGACAGTTTTCACAGGAGTCCACAGCGGTCTCCATCAACGAGGAAACGTCCATATCATCGTCGGAACAGAGCGAGACCTTAGCAAAGTGCTGGCAGACGATGTACCATCTGATTGACTTGTACTCTAATGTGTCTGAAGGCCTGCAACTGTCTCATGTCAAGGACAAGACTGAAGACATAAGGTAAAGGGATAAACAATTTACAGAACTGTAAAGAGTACTTTCTTTAGTCTGAAAGCACACAGCAAGACATGCTGCAACTTTTTGTTCTTTGTTGAGTTGCAAAGTGTACTTGTCTTCTAAAACTACATGTGATCATGACAAAGATGTAATGCCAGGTGTAGCATTTTAAAGTACTACATGACAACATACCCTTGAGCTAGGCCTTACCCCTTTAGTCTTGCCGGATGAAGTATATACAAAGAAGAAACATGACAGAAAACAATATATTTCATCCATGCTTGTGGTATGGGGTGAAATATTACTAGGGAAACCAACATATGCTTCTGGCAAATATAGCATATTTCACTCCATCTATCCCATACTTGCTAATTTCAGAATCAATATTGAGGACAATCTGACCACCAGTGGCCAGCAGTCCTCAGTCCCGGAGACTCCCCGTCCAGTTCCGGGCAGTCCCACGGCTGAAGACAAGCTAAACCGTCTGCTGACCATGTCGTCCGGAGGGTCAGACCACCCCCCCATCCACCTGGTGGGCACGGTGGGGGTGACCAAGATGAGACTACTGGCAGAGTTTGCAGGGTTGAACCTGGAGGCTGAGATGAGTGGGATGCAGGCCTCTGTTGGGCACAGGGAGAAGACAAAAGGTACCAGGCAGTAGTCTTTAGAAGAAGTACATATATTGGCAATTGGTCCACTGCATCTAAAAAGAGTGTAATTTGATGGTTGATGACAAAAAAACATCAACGCAACCTTTGCCTGTTTTTTTTACCCAAGAATACATTGACTGTTTTGACTACAACATTCAATTATGTATTATGATCAGTGCATAGAACTACTTTCTTCTTGACAAGTATATCTTATCTGTTGTAGAAGGAAATGTAAGATGGAATTTACTAATTGTTTAACTTGAAGTCTTTATTTCAGTTTCAGCTGAACATGACTTAAACCACTCATGGATAGTAGCCTCAGATCTGACTCCAGGAGCATTTTATAGAATCAGTAAGACCGCAAAATCTGAACTTAAAAAGTTGAACCTAATTTTCACGTTCTAAAAAAAGGTGGAAGATTAACATGGTTTTGTTTTATCTTGAGGGTTAATCTGTGTCGGTTGAAGTCAGTATGAAACAAGTTTGAAATGTAGAATGTAGTCAGAATTTCACCGAGGAAGGTAACAGACGGTCACCGAAACGTCGGCTGAATAAAAGACTTGGTTGTGTAAAAATAGTCTCCTTACTCAGTGTCTTACCAACCTAATGAAAGTATTTACGGCAGTTTGAAATGTAATTTTCAGCTCAACAACTGAAATTTGACTTACCCAAATTTTCAACTGTCTTTGTGTCTTTGTGAAGGGATGTCAATTGAACAGTCCACCACTTCTGTAATGTCACTGACAGATGACACGGAGAGCAGTGGACCACAGATTACAGAAAGTTTGTGGTGCCACCCATCTTCCAATTCAAACTTGTTTCATAATAGTTTTGTTCTAAATTATCATAAGAACAATAACCCTGTCTGTGGCTATATTGTGGGACTTGAGTTCAAAGGTTTTGGATAATGTTTGAGTTCTTAAGCAACTGATCCAATCATGTCTTGAGCCTAACACTGTGTCTTGGTGTATTTCACTTACATGTATCTTCGGTCTGTACTAACTAACTGATGGATTGAGAGGCAAAATGACAGTTCAAAAGGTCAGACACAGGAAATGGGGTGAACTTGACAGCATTTGAATGGAAGAACATTGAAAGTTAGAATGGCAGGTCAAAAGGTCAGACACGGCAAATGGGGTGAACTTGACAGCATTTGAATGGGAGAAGATTGAAAGTTAGAATGGCATGTCAAAAGGTCAGACACAGGAAAGGGGGTGGACTTGAAATCTCCTTTAAATAAAGTGTTCTGACTACAGGCACCCAGCGGAAACATGTTGTGGAAACCTCCATCACAGCCCACGTCCAGAAAACTGAGCTGGCCATCTTGGAAGGCCTGTATCCTGCCATGCAGTAAGTTATCTCAAAATCTAGTCAGAACATATCATAGTCAAATACTGTAATTCACTTTATGTTCATGGTAGCAAAATTTCACGGTCTGGGAAAAGTGGACATGTTCACGCAACTATATATTCACGGTGGCGACAGGTGCAGGAAAAAGAAAGTCCATGAATTATTTGTTTACTGTAAGTGTAATGATAAGTTCACGGTACAGAAGTGACAGTGAAAACAGTGAACATAACTGTTACAGTACAGTGAAAAAAATCAGGAATTACAGTATTACTTATAGTCATTAGAATGTAACTAGTAAGTTCTTACAAATATGTTTTTTATGTACCTGAGTTTATCTTTCATACAATACTTCAATGAAAGAGGATACATCATTGTTAAAGAAGCACGTTATGAAATTGTATAATGTAGTGAGTCATGTATGCAACACCTGCATTTTCTCACTTTCATCACACATAATTATTGAACATTTGTGTGTTCTCAACTTCTTCCTGACTGATTTTTGTTGCCTCTCAACAATTATGCTACAACAATGAAACACAAAGTACACAGCTAAGTATATTGAAGAGCAATGTTGCACATGTCATTGTTCTTACTATGTGAGGAAACATACCGAACATTGATTGTGAGTGAATGTTAGGCCACAGCAAGTAAATTTTATGGATGACAGACATCCTCCGCAGATTCAAAATCTAATGCAAGCAGGCAAAAAAAAAACAAGGCGGGCCGAAAAAAACAAGGTTCCTACAATTAAAAATTTTGACTCAATCATTGTTCAAATGGTTTTGATTCAGTGGGAACATCACATATCACTGCATCAAAGTAAGAAACAAAAGATTAAATCAGAGCCTTTTCTTGTCTCCTCTCTTCGTATTTATCTGCCATCAACCTCCCGGCATGGCAACAGACATTTTTGGTATGTTGACCACTGTCAGAAGGCAACAAAATTTTATGTTTTTTTTTTTTTCAAAATCAGGCAAAAATTAATGCGCGTGCTGATGTCATCCATAAAAATTACTTGATGTGGCCTTACTTGCAACAGTCCACCTGTGCTTTAAGAGGCAGTGTGATGTAGTTGCAGTAGATGTTTCAGCCATGCTAACTATGCCACAACTGTGCCTCTCTTGCATGCACTTTGCCATTCAATCGCACCCTGGAGGGGTAAGAGGTAAATGCAGAGTGCTTGTTTCATAATGAGTGTTCACATCACGTGGTGATGGTGCAACTCACACAAGGGTGAAGGAGAAAACACAGCAAAGTCTGTTACCAAGACAACCAATGCATCATTGCAATCTTGTCATAGCACGTCAGCAGAACGTACTGTGCCTGCGCAAACCCCCATTTTTTTCGGTTTTCCTTGAATTTTTGGTCAATGTTATATCAGAATTTTGCCTCTTGCAGACAAGATTTTTTCCGACATAGCATTTGGAAACTACAGACAGAGTGTTCACCTTATATTCACGAATACGACCTTATATGAGAGGTTCTGCTATAAACAATACATTACAGGTTTCGCGCAGGTGCAGTATGTTCTGTCTACGTGCTTCTTGTCACTAGTGTTTTAGTCTTAACCTTTGTCCTGCTGACATTCCTTGCACAATATTTTTCAATAATTTCATTTCTTAATTAGGTCATAGACCCCCAAATTTTTTTTGACCTGCAGTGGCATAGTTACTTCCACTCGTTGCGTTTCGCTGCAGTGTGATGCGTTGCACGAGAAATACCCCCAACTCGTACCTATACGGGGTGTTATGTAGATGGTACTTTATGTGTAGAACAACAATTGTTGTGCTCCGCAGGACAAGGGTTAAATTTTCACAAACTTTTTTTTTCCATTTTTTAAAATCAAACAATCAACACATTATAGCAGCATTCTTCTTGCAGCTAAGCATTTTGAATGTGTTACAGTACATTCTTTCTATCTTTTCTTTCTTCTGGAATGTTCCATGTCACACTTATCTGGGGTGTAAGGGGCTACATGTACGTAGTGCTTTGAGCAATTATAAGGTTGGTCTGTCCATGGTGCTGAAATGTTGGATGTGATGGAATCTTCTTTCCGTTGTGCCAATATTGTGTGTGTAAGCTTCCATAAGCACTTAGTTAATATTCTGTCCATTTTCAATATATCTAGTATTTCTTGTCATTCAATCAGAACTATAACTAGTAATTTTGCACTAGTTACATATAGATGCTAAACAAGAGGAGTGTTTCCTACCCTGTTACCCATCCTATTCTAGCTCAGGTTTGCTCCAACAATTTCCTGGCCCCCATTCTCATTTAAACACACATTGTAGGGTCCTTACTTCCTGTATTATTTCAGCAGTCAAATATCTTTCAGAAGCAGTGTAAAGCTGAACTTCTGAATCCCTTTTCAAGCCCCATTCTGAGGACTGTGCAACTTGGAGCCAATAATGAGAACTCTTGCCCATATTTTATGCAAATGCCAGTCATTTTTGTGATGGGAACCCAGCTATTTTGCATACAAGCAAATCACAGCTAGCGAACTAAAGATAGCAAACTGGACAGGCCTCGAAATTAACTTTTCTTCCTATTGTCCCAGCACTGTCCCCAAAATAATTTCAATTGTCCCGAGGATGTTTTTGTATTCTATGACTTCAACTTGAAGTCAACTTTATTTTACTCATGTTCACTACCAGGGACTTGTGCCTTATAAACAAAAGAAGGGCTGACATTCTGATGTTGATTATTTTTCTATTGTCCAAAAAATGTCCCAAAGTGTCTTTTTAGTGGTCAGTGGCCATTGGACCACTTTAGTTTGATTTTGAGCCCTGCTGGAGCTAGAATGGGATGAATACCAGGCTAATGATGTCCAGAATCTCACTGTAATTTTGAACCCTTTGTCCCTTCCTCTAGGACTGTGGTGAGCATAAAGATTGACAGGTCCCAGTGCATGTACACCAGTTCCAACCGGAAGTCAAAGGAGCGTAACCTGGGCGTCCTGAACGTGGGGATGATTGACGTGGACATCCCGCAGCACCCTGTCGCCCTGCACGGTACCGTCACCCGCAGCTCCAAACAACTGTCATCGCAGATCTCAGAACTCACCAGGCAACCTAAAGCCAGGTAGGGCTAAGGGCAGGCTTCAAAATTAACTTTCCTGCCTATTGTCCCAGCACTGTCCCAAAAATAAATTTCAATTGTCCCAATGTGAGGATGAACTGTCCCAACCTGTTTTTTTGGGAGACTATTGTATGACTTCAACTTGAAGTCAACTTTACTTTGCTTATGTTCACTCCCAGGCACTCTATAATTGCAGAGTAGACAAGAAATTCAGGAACCGGCTACTTTACACCGATTGACTTGTTACACATAACCCTTGAACATCTACATATGTACTTGTAACTCTAGACTTTGTTTAAAGCTATCTAATGACAATGCCCCTACTGTACTTGGAGACAGCAAGTTCCACTCTGCGATAGCTGTATCGCAGGCTTGGATGGTATCTGAAGCTGTGGCATGTGGTTTTCAACAGATAGCTTCAATCTACAAAAATATGTTTATAAAAAAAAAAATCTTGCTTGACACAACAAACGTATAGTGGCTTTTGTAAGGTCGATAACTGTACATAAATACAAAGTGGATTCAAAATAGTGATTAACTTAGTATTTTACATATGAATGGTTTATCTCTTTATTTGTGACCTCAATAAAAATTGGCCAGCCGGCTGATCTAAGTTTTTGATGACTGAAAGAAGGCTCAAACAAAAAAACTAACCTGCTGCCTTATATGTAGGTCCACAGATTCATCTAGTAACCTGGAGAGCATGAGTCAGCCCTCCCCACAACAGCTCCTGCCACCCCTGGCAGAGATTGATAACCTTCCTCCAGGAGCCAAGCAGCCAGCTAAGAAACCTTTCCTGCTCAACTTCAAGATTGTCATGGATGGGCTGGCTATAGGGGCATCTCTGCTGCCTTCACTCAAGGCTGAATACAAGGTGAGGATATTGTTGTAAAGTTGCTCAGTTGTATTTTGCATGGAAAATAGCAGGTAAACTTGACGTAGAAAATATGATAAATATTAAAAATGTGAAAATATGATAAATATGAGAATATGATAAATATGAAAATATGATAAATGTGAAAATATGAAAAATATGAAAAATTGGTTGAATTCTTGTCTGCATCTTGATGATTGCAGTGATTTCAAGAATGTTAGAAATATTAGTTGATGTTCTGTGCTTATATCAGTATTATTGTACAGTATTTCATGTTTAATGTACATGTATGATATTGTAAGAATTTGTATTTAATGTGTATGTAACATGTTTAATAATGTTCAATATTGTAATCTGTCTTGTATTCAATATTGTAATCTGTATTTTTTTTTTAATATTGTACTGTTTGTCAATGCACCTGTTTTGTTCTCCCTTCAATTTGTATATTTGTACTTGTGGTAAATCCAAATAAACAAAAACCCTGTTGTACTATATTATAGTCTTTATGTTCTGCCTCTGCCTTTCCCAGATTTCCCGTATGTTAAGTTCTGGTATGACAGGAGACCAGGCCAGGTTCACTATAGACCTCCCTATGCATACTCTGGGCTTTGCCTCCAAGGTAGGGTACTAGTGTCTTTACTTCAACATCTTTCAATAAGCATATAGTATTACATGTAATGTTAGTCTGACTTAGGCCCTTTCGTGTATAAGCATCTGCTCTTAGATTTAGTAATTCCATCAATGTTTCATTTTTCTACTCAGAGCTTTTGGCATACACATCTGGGTTTAGCAGAAAAATGTTTTTAGCCATTACTATTTGTAGAATATCAACCCTATTTTATTGTATTGTATGTGATTTTGTCTTTTGTCCAGGTTGTCCATCAGGAGTACAACCTGCCGTCTTCAGCCAGTGTGGATCTGCCTCCCATCCACGTCTCTGGGAGCTACAAGACCAAGACTATCCAGGTAAAGTACAATGTACAGTTTGTATCCCCTAAAGGTGCTTTGTGCCTTGCTAGTAACAAATGAAAGTGTTGTTGAATGCTGGATTATTTTGTTTACCAAAGGAAAACATAATAAAATTGTTGTTTATATTGTTTTTGCTACATTTCCTCTTCTTCTCCAAACAATGATGTCAATGACCTGAGACTGTCTGCTGCCATGGTAACTAGTGATGGGTTACATCATGTTGCAATTTTATAGCAGGAGGGATTTAGACTCCTGTCTGACCATGTGTTTGAGTAAGAATTAACAGAGCAGACCATATGCGAAGGTAAACATTATGCATTCGCTTTGCAAATGTTACCTTCCTAGTAAAGATATAAAATAAATCTTCCAGCCATTTTTGTAAAGTTTAACCCGTGTACTTTTTGCCATGTACATACAGCCAATGCCCAAATAAGATTTCCTTTAGAAAATTCCAAGTACTGTGTGTATTCAAAAACTGAGTAAATCAGTACTGTATATATATAGTTATTGACACACCTTTCACCAAGGCAAGAACTCAATCATCTACATTTATTTTGCATTGCATTCAAAGTTTTTTTTCTAAGAATTTCTTCAATAACGTGGAAATGTTTCACCTTGTGACTAAGTATGCACCATTTGAACCCTGTAGGTTACATGTGTACATGTACAGTGTATAAGTTATAGACACATGTTTCACCAAGGCAAGAACTCAATCATGTACATTTATTTTGCAGTCATTGCATTGAATAGTTTTTTCTAAGAATTACTTCACTAACGTGGAAATGTTTCACCTTGTGACCAAGTATGCACCATTTAAACCCTGTAGGTTACATACATTGTGTACATGTACCTGTACATGTACAGTGTATAAGTTATAGACACATGTTCAGCAAGGCAAGAACCCAACCATCTACATTTATTTTGCACAGTCATTGCATTCAAATTTTTTTTTCTAAGAATTTCTTCACTAACGTGGAAAGGTTTAGCCTTGTGACTCTGTACTATTTGAACCCTTTAGGTTCCCAACACAGTAGCCCCAGGCATGGTGTCTGTGTGCACAGGCTACCTACTGACCCAGGCTGAGGTGGGCTCCTTTGAACACATGCTGACAACAGACCTGCTCAACCATCTACTGTTTGTACAGAAGGTCTTCATGAAGGTCAGTTATCAGGGCTCAAAAATAATACTTTTATTTCAGGTACGTACAAATTGCACGTTGGCAAAAATTTTTGTTGCAATTTGAAAAATTTAAGAGCAAAAGTATGTTTAGTCTGTCTGCAACTGTTTTCCAGCTGGTTTCTCACAAACACTAAGAGTAACTGTTGGAACTTCCCAAAATCAAAAAAAATATGGCAAATTTACCAGCAGTCTGAGAGCAATAATCTTTTTTATTTTCCCAACTTCAAACCATCGGCAGCGCTTCCTAAACTACGATGGACTAACAAACTAAGTGTATAGAAAATTTATCTTTTCACACATACTGTACCATGCATGGCGTAATGACAGATTTTATCAAATCTCTGGTGTCCCTTTAAATCAAGAATGGTAGTCCTGGTGGAGAGATAGAGTGTACTGTTTAGTGATTCATCTGTTCACTAATTTCTGCTGTTCACCTATAGGAAGTGAATGACGTAGTTCAGAAGGTGTCTCGTGGAGAACGTCCCGTCGCGCCCTGGATGGATCGTATCCACTCCAGCGACTCCTACAAACCTACCCAGGTCCTCTACTCACTCAAGTTCAGACTCAAGGTGGGAATCATCATCATCATCAGAGCTTCCAGCCATAAATAATGAACTTCATATGAAGCTTTTCTTGCCATTCTTTTCCTCAGCCTGTGAATAGCAGCAAAACTGGCTTTACTCTCGGTGCCAGCCAAGTTTACGGGCCGCTAGCCATTTCTTTTGGCAGCCAGAAGCCCTTCGCCCGCAGACCTAAATTACCGCTGCGGTGGAATTGAGCCCCTGGGGAGGTTTCGGCTCTGCAACTCGTTGTAGGGCCAGCCAAACTCACCCCGGGCTAGACTCCCCCGTAGCGCTAATTTACACCAGCGGGCGAAGGGCTCTTGCGGCTCGGAAAACGAGTTCTGGTTTCCAGGGTAAACTGGCTTTTGCTGTTATCCTGCAGTTTTGTGTTATCCTGCAATTGTCTTTTTGGTGCTTGAAGATTCTATTGCTGCTCAAAAGGACTTCAGATGGCAAGGGTTGTGAACAAAAACGACACCTAACTTTATAGAAACTTGGGGCATTGGGTTAGTTGGCAGAATTTTTCCCCATTTTTTGTGCCACTTTTTAAAAGGCAACGGAATATCATTTTCTGAATGATATACTAGTAAAAATAGCATTTTTGTTGGCCCATTATGATGTGCAGAAGACAGTCATGTTGACTTTGATTTTACTTTTCCGTCTGTTCAGCATAGAGCACGATTACATTTTGTTGACTTATATCTAGTATATTGAAGTTATATATAATAATTATAATTGTAGTATTTTCTCTCAAAGCACAAATTGTTAAAAAGCTAATTAATTTTTGCTGTATACATGTACATGATTGTACAGATTATTAGGCAGTATTTGCAAACCGATATTTTCACCCTGAATTAGAATTTTTTGCACACCATAAAGTAACATAGTGCACTTTTAACCCCTCCTTGTCTCTTGCACTTTGACTGCTCTTCTTGTTGAAGGCCCGATGTGGAGTTCGTGGCAAGGCCATGGGCTCCCAACACAGACAGGTATGGGGGCATCCGTGTTCCTTTGCCTGGCCGTGTCACTGTCCGTCTTGTGGTCCATATAACAGCCAATCTTCTTACAATCCTTCTTTTCAGATTATCATGAAAGTTCATCTGTGTTGGTAGTAATCATAGTAAAATGTTGAACTTTATTCCAAGACACGATTATACACAGATCAAATTTTCAGCGACCACTGTCGCCTTCATCAGGATAATTAATGACCAATCACTTCACAATTGCTCAAGTCACGTATCAGTAAAGTCTTGTGTGAAGGCTTATGAAGGTTAGACATCCAGGTAATACGATACACCAAAAAGCAGTTACTCAAGCAACTCTTTCAAAATCATATCCAGTTGCTTGAGTAATTGCTTTTTGAAATAAGGTCACATGTTTCTAACCAACACTCTCGCGAGATCACGTTGTGAAGTGATTGGTCATTAATTCTCCTGATGAAGGCGACAGTGGTCGATGAAAATTTGATCTCTGTGTAATCCTTGTGTTGGAATAAAGTTCAACATTTTAACTGTCAGTAACAATCCTTCTTTTCAGTTTTTAGTACTAGACATTTCTGTGATGTCCTGATTCACAATTTGTTTTGAATTTTTGTCTAGAACTCTAAAAGAGCCACCCTATTTTGCTGACTGTAGTTGTATACAATGGATCCGTACAATCCCTCAACATGCCTCAAACTCTCGGTACCCTGTCCTGTAGGGGATCCAGGTGACAGCCACCACCCCAACCTCCAATGCTGTACGCCTGGAAACAGGGATTGTGGAGTTAGAGCTGTCCAACATGGTGGAAGTGGGGGAGGGCAACGGGCAGCTGAAGAAAAGTGAGCAATCCAGTTGGGCTTTTAAAAGCTGTAGTTGAAGAACAATAATTGTAGTAATCTTTGAATTTCAATTTCAGAGCCTTTTGAGACAATTCTGGTATCCTACACAATTGTATATAAAACATTTCATAATATTATATATAATGAAAAGTTGCTGCACAATTACCATAATAATCACTGCTCACAAGCAATTGAGTCTATTTGTTGCCAATGGGTAAATCTGCTAGAAACTTACCTGTCTGCTGTGGTACAATGTATTAAATCTTTCCTTCTTCCTTACAGGTGGAAGTCATCTGAAGCTATTTGGAAAGGCTCATGTGGACCTGAACTTGGCACTGGGACAGTTAGTGGGGGTAGGTCCTATCTCACCATCTTACAGTTACTGTCAATCATGTAAATTGTTAAATTTCAAAGTTTTTTTGGTAAGGCCTCAGGGGGAGCCTATGGTATGGTATTATGTGCAGTTTGCAAGAATTCTAGGAATTGTACAGGTATGGAATGTCCACAGGAATGGAATGTCAACAGGCATGTCTCACATCTCTGGAATTTTGTTTGTACATAATTGTACATTGTACTCCATCTGCCATTAGGGAAAGATCTAGACCTTTTGTCATTTTTTTTCTCTCTTGACATCTTTTAATCGTACCTCTGACTGACTGCAGAACCAGATATTTGAGGAGGCAGAGCCAGAGTTCCACCAGATGGCGTATTTTAAGACCAGGATCGGCCTGAGGAATGCCCTGCAGGATGAGATGTCCACCAGTCGCGGGATGGCCGAGGACAAGACAGCAGTCCTCATCACCCTCACCAGACCCATCTTCTACGTACAACCGGCTGCTTTTGACAAAGGTGTGTGGAAAGACTTTTTTGGCGACATCTCAGGGAGGAGCCTAATGGTACAGTATTGTGTGCAATTTGCAAGAATTCTAGGAATTGTAGAGGCATTTTGGCCACAGGCATGGAATGTCCACAGGAACATCTCCCAGCTCAGTTTGTTGACATGCCCACATTCCTGGAAACCCTTGGGAGAACCTGTCTGCCGGATGACCTACATGTACTTTGTTACTCCGGGGCTCGTTCCCTATACACTCGGGAGGTTAGGGTACCAAGGCTTCCTCAAAATTATGAAATCACGGCAGTGCCATGCAAACAATAACCCTAACAGCAACCACAGTCGCCATGGCAATGTATGTTTTCATTGCCAGTCTTGTTGTGATTGGGTGTGGTACTCTCTCCTAATTAAGGAGCTTACAATTTGAGCCTTACAATCGGCACTAATTCAGGTGACCTCAATACCACCCCAGGTGCAGCCATAAAACTGTAAGGTTTGAATCACTCCGGGAAGTATATTTGTACCCCTTCTTTTCTTGTACACCTTGAGCTTCTGATAGTGTGGTAGGTTCTTTAACGTACATGGGGCGTGGCTGTCCCCAAACACGGGGCCTCCATTTAATGTCCTATCCGACGGATGTCCCTAAGCAATGCCAGGTACTACTCATTTCCACAATAAGTTAGTGAAGTGAGGAAAGTCATGTAAAGCATGCCTTTTCCAAGGGCACAAGATGGGTGACATGGCAGGATTCGAACCCAAGACCTCTTGGTTCTGAGTCAAATATTATGCTGTTATACCACACATGATGACCCCACTTGTACCAGAGCACAGCCAAATATATGCTATCTAAAGTGTCTTCAGTCTACCTAGATGTCTAACCTTCATTGATGGTGTGTCCATGTGTTTTGTACACAGCTGTATTAGTGTGGCTGAACTACAAGAATGCGTATGAGTACTGGAATGAGCAGCGTATGGCTCTGAACCAGGAGGTTCAGGCTGCCACCAGTACACTGATAGACATGCTGCCACAGATCAGTCCCCAGGGACCCCCCACCCTCGGCACGCTCTTCCTACAGCTAACAGTCAACGACCTGGGCATCTGTTTACCTGTCAACAATGCAGGAACACAGGTGGGTGTAGTAACACTTTAGGGTACAGTCACAAGCACGTCGGCAGAACGTATACTAACTAGTATAAAATCTGTAGTTCTGATTGAATGACAAGAAAAACTAGATATATTAAAAAAAGACAGAATAATAACTATTATATACTTTTTTTTAGTAAGTGCTTATGGAAGCTTACACACACAATATTGGCACAACGGAAAGAAAATTCCATCACATCCAATATTTCAGCACCATGGACAGACCAACCCTATAATTGCTCAAAGCACTACATACATGTAGCCCCTTACACCCCAGATAAGTGTGACATGGAATATTCCAGAAGAAAGAAAAGATAGAAAGAATGTACACAAAATGCTTAGGTTGCAAGAAGAAATGTAACACAGCTATAAATTGTGTTGATTGTTTGAATAAAAAAATGAAAATTTAAGACTTTAAAACACTAGTGACAAGGAGCACGTTGGCAGAACATACTGCACCTGCGCAAAACCCATGATGTACTGTGCATAGCACTTTCAAATTGGCAGAACGTCTCATATAAGGTCGTAATCATGCATATATAATTATAAGTTTTACACTCTGTCTGTAGTTTCCAAATGTTATGTCGGAAAAGAATATTGTCTGCAACAGGCAAAATTCTCATGCAACATTGACCAAAAATCCAACAAAAAACGTTAGAAATGGGGGTATATTGCGCAAGCGCAGTACGTTCTGCCAACATGCTACAGTCACATATGTTGTAGGTTGTCCTTCATATCGTTGGGTACTGTATTGATAATAACTTGAAATATGTTATGAATCAAGGTTGTATACTGCAGAATGATGACCATTGCATGAAATGTTTATCATTTTGAATTTTCTTGCATGTATACTGATTAATATCAAAAATTTGACCCCAGAATTTTTTGGCTGAAAAGGCAAGGATAGCCAAAGTCAATTCCAATATACTGAAAGATTCCTGAATGTACATGTAGTTGCCTGGAGAAAGGACTTTAGGCCACACCAATATAATCTGTTGGTTCACAGATTTGCCTCTTTGTTTTTTTCTGATTTGCAAAAAGAAGAAAAAAAATTCTGGTTCTGAATCAACTCAAAAATGCTCATATTTTGCCCCCAACAGTTGAGGAAAGTCCTTTTCTTCCTAGTTGTTACAGTTTTTCAATCTATCAATGTAGTGGTTTGGTTAAAAGTTCAAAATTCATTGTTTAGATATTAACCCAGCCTTTTGTGATATGTCTCCTATCGTAGCATTTGGGGCTATAATACTAGTAGTATGCCTAGACCTGTTTTTTTTTTCGCCTTGTCGCTTCATATTTTTCTAAAGAATCTGAGAACCAACAAACTAAATTGGTGTGGCCTTACTTTGAAGTACATTTGTTTGCGTGTGAAACTGTGTTGTGTATGTGAATGGGCCCTTCATCCTTTACCACCCTGTAGATGTTGGGAGTTGGAGGAACCCCCCGTCAGTTTGTGAGTACACCACTTCAGCATGTATGGTACAGTTTGGGCACTTTCTCCTCAAATGTATGCGCTGGGAAACAGTCAACATTTGGCCTGATTCTTTATATGTTCCATTCCAAAATTCAGTGTAATCTCCATGTCTCTTGAAATTGCACTCATCTGATTCAGAAATGAATCTGCAAATTTTAATTTAATTTGCCAATTATGCAATAATTTATAATACTCAGGTGCATTCTTTTTTCATTAATTTGCCAAAAGTGCTATGAAAGTCATTACTGGACTACATGTAAATTAAAATGATTTTTTTTGTACCAGTTCAATAGAAAAGGGAAAAAATGAAAGCAGCTTTTTTTGCATTACTACCCAATTTTAGGCCCTCTGTGCATTTCAGGAGGAAGCTTGCTCAAACTTTACCAAAAGCAATGGCAGCTGCAGTGACCCCCCCCCCCAACACTCACCCATATTTTATCCTTGCAGTTTTGTGTGACACACTGACATGCCTGAGCATATGCACCTTTTTCTGATTTACCGTAGTTTAAAACCCTAACAGTTTGCCTGTTAATGCAGCTGCAGTGTGTTTTCAGTTAGCTGAAGAGTTTGCGTCAGCTTCACCTTGTTCACAGAGCTAAATTTTCAGCCACTTTTTCATCCTCTCATGCCTGCTTCTCCTGGCTTTATTTCATTTATGTTTACCAAAGGAAAACATAGTGTTTTTGCTCTGTTTCTTCTTCCGTTCCAAACACTGACCTCAAACCTGGTCAATGACCTGAACCAAACATCTGTCACCATGGTAACTAGTGTTGGGTTACATCATGTTGCAATTTTATAGTAGGAAGGATTTAGACCCCTGTCACCATATAATTGTGAATGTTTTTTTATAATTAACAGAGCAGACCATATGCGAAGGTAAACATGATTATGCATTTGCTTTGCAAATGTTACCTTAAAGTTTCTAGACAGTTTTGGTTTGTTTTGCTTCGTATTAAGGACCAAGTTTAGGGTCCAACCAAGTTGGTTGTGGGGTAATGATGATGTTATATCTCCCATCCAGGCCAGCACCACCCTAGACTACGACCCAGGTGCAGCCCTGGTACTGACCCTGGAGAGTTCCCTCATCACGGCCTGCTCACGTGACGCTCTCGTCTGCAGCGGACACGTCAAGGGCTTCTGTCTGCGCTTTGCCGACGACTTCGAGACATCCTGGGACGAGTGGAAAGCTGACCCTGCTGAAGGCATCATCATGAATGCATGTAAGATTCATGTATAATGTATAATTTTATGCTCTCAGCCTATGAGAATGGGCCATTTATTAAAACATATTGTTTTTTCTCAGTTTCCTCTTCTTCTGTTCTAAACACTGACCTCACGTACAATGTATAATTTTATGCTCTCAGCCTATGAGAATGGGCCATTTATTAAAACATATTGTTTTTGCTCAGTTTCCTCTTCTTCTTCTGTTCTAAACACTGACCTCTGACCTGGTCAACCAGATCTAGACTGCTCTCATAGTAACCAGTGTTGGGTTACTATTATACATATAATAATTATATGAATGTGTTAGAGTAAGAATTAACAGAGCAGATCATATGTGAAGATAAACATTATGCTTAGTACCTAAATTCTAGTTATTTCATAATATTCAAAAAGTCTATTAGATAAGTACATATTCTGCTCATACAGTAACTTCATCACGAAAACTTAATATTAAAATTACCTGTAATTACAAAAAATCTGTATTCATTACATAGTACAATTTCTTGGGATATTAACCACACTGTTACATGTATGTTGTATTAATTAACAATCACTGCTTTTTTTCCAGTTACTGTGCCAGAGGGTACATATGAGGTCTGCTCCAAGACAGTTGGTCTTCAGACAGTTGGTATGGATGTTTCTACTTGTTCATTTGTTTTTTAGACTGTCCTCTGTGCATGTTAAGATGCCCAGGGCTCAAAATTAACATTGTCCCAATGTCAAAATGACACCAAATTTTCAGCTCGGGACAATTCAAGTTACATTTCGGGACAATTTCGGGGCAATTGGAAAATCCTGAGACCGTCCACATCATTTAGGAATGCGATTTATCCATCCTGCTGCGGGCTGCTGCCTTAATACTCGAGTACTCGAAAGGGGACCTCAAAGATGGTGCCCCGCCCATGATACTATGATCATGTATTTCCCTACAGTCTGAAAAAAATGATGGACATGCATTTACAAATAAAGTGGACTTCAAGTTCTACAGTTGTTGTTGTTTTCTTACTGTTGTCATAAACTTATTTCCTGAAAAGCAGACTGGAACAGTCCATCCTCAGTTTGGGACAATTGAAATCTATTTTTGGGACAATTCTGGGACAATAATTAGTAGTAAAGAAAAGTTAATTTCGAGGCCTGATGATACCTTTCAACTACCAGATCCATGATGCCTTTGAACTACCTGAAACGTCTGACCATTTCCAAAATCATTTGGCGTATCTCATTACCTGGATGTCTTAAACCTTCACTGATGTACCAGATCCATGTCCTGTAACTGAAGTTTTGGTCACCACCTGTCCACTATAGGAGGCAGTAACAGTGGGAAGTGGGTACTGGACATCCTGTGGAAGATGTGTGGACTGGACATCCAGCTGGACACTAACATCGGGAAGTGCCTGTCTGCCCTGGGGAACACGCTGACCGCCATCGCTGGGGAGGAGGAGGGGATGGATGACCAGGATGTGGAACTGGCCGAGGAGGCAGAACAAGCCGAGGCTGGGATGGTACTGAGCTACAAATAAGGCCACACCGACTTAATTTTATGGATGACATCCTCTGAAGACCCCTAAACTAGTGCGCGCGGGCGAATAAAAAAAAATTCCAGCCAAAAATAAAAACTACTAAACCACAGGAATTCAGAGCTGGTATTATGGATTTATGGCAGTATATAGCGACGTATACGACAAGCCGGCTTTTTGCGGAATGTATGATTCGGCACTGTTCGTATGTTCTTGAGTCATGGAGCTTCGGTAGCCTGGGTGCCCAACTCCGTACTGTCACTAACTACCATGAACTGCCCAGGCGTAGAGCCAGGCCAGAGCCTCAGAGGACGTGATATTTTTTTCTTTAGGCAAAAATCAATGCGCGCGAGGATGTCATCTATAAAATTAAATCGGTGTGGCCTAAAGTACACCCAGCACGTATGCAGAACGTACTGCGTCTGTACAAAACCTGTAATGTATTGTGCGTAACACTTCGGCAGAATGTCTCATGCAAGGTTGTATTCACGTATATTAAGATTAACATCTCGTCTATAGTTTCCAAATGTTATGTCAGAAAAGATGTCGTCTACAACAGGCAAAATTCTGATGCAACGTTGACCAAGCATCCAACAAAAACCGTAAAGAATCAGGGTTTTGCGCAGGCGCAGTATGTTCTGCCGACGTGCTCTTTGCTTTCCATTTCTGTACTGTGGTCATATGGACCTAAACGCTTTGTTTGAAAGCCTATAGCTTGTGCATAGTGATCACTCAAAAGAGACTTGTATAAGACTGAGCCCTTACTCATCAGTGAGTCATTCTGCCCTGTTAGGACCAGCTGCCTCGCAGGCCCAGTAGCCTGGCTGTACCACTCCCAGGCAGCAGCAATGAGGCAGAGAACGGACATCGGAGACGCTTCCGCTTCATGGAGCAGCAGATGAATGAACAAGCCAGGATTGTGAAAGATCTCAAGTATGTATAGGGCCTTATTAATAAATTATGCACTTTACATACATGTAGGTCTGTGACCCTGCACTAGAGAGGCACGGTAAACGTATAAAAGGAGGAGTGGTCTGGTCTCTGTCATTCTGGAGAAAGACTGAATAAAGTCAAAACCGGTCGAATTCCGTCTCATCGTTGTCATCTTCCCATCGCCACGAATTATACATGTAGGTCTGTCTAAGAAATAAACAACACCACTCTTAGTAACCCTTCCTCAACTCTTCATCCCCTCCCCCACTCTTACCCTTGAAGTTCCTCAATTCTTCCCCCCCTCCCCTACACATGCACAATTTTGGGGGTCATTATATAATTACCTCAATTATAACAGACTGAGTGTACAACACGTATTACAATGTCATGTACCAGGGCTCAAAATTAAAGGTGGTCCAATGGCCACTGACCACTAAAATTTTGGCTGGGACAACAAAAAAGACACTTTGGAACATTTTTAGAACAAACAATCAACATCAGAATGTCAGCCCTAATCTTTTGTTTATCAGGCACACATCCTGGCTTTTGGATTCGGAAAAGTCCCCCCAAATTTCCTCAGTCTACACAGCATTTACAGTATAGTGCGCCTGGGAGTGAATATATTATTAAGCAAAATAAAGTTGAACTGTCATACAATACTTCCCAAAAAAACAGGTTGGGACAGTTCATCCTCACTTCGGGACAATTAATTTATTACCTCCAGGGAAGGAGATATCCTTCCGCGAGGAGGTTTTACTATGGTTCGAAACATTTCTGTCAGCAGCTGTTTCTCGCGATCGGCTGGACGGATTGGTCTGTTGTTCGGTATACGTATTGCTGTTGGGCTGCAGATTATGCAGAACGTTTTTGTTTAATTGTATATGTGTTTATGGGCGTCGAAATAAAAGGTTTTTGAGTGCTCCGGACACCCCCGCCATGCTGAAAATGGAATTTACCATGTTGTTAAGGAATGGGGAGGTTGCAGTTTTGGGTCTTAGCATTTAAAAGGGGTCAAACAGAGGGGTGTCTGCTTCCGATATGTATTTTGAAATATTATCGCAGTTGTATCTCGCGTTGGAGTAGACTGGACTCGGTGTATGTTCTGCTAATGGGCTGTAGATGGTGCAGGTTTTTTTGTTTTTATTGTATATGTGTTTTGGGGCGTAAAAATCTGAAAATGGTCGCGCGCGGCGCTGGGCTGGCTGCCAGTGCAACTTCCGGGTGGGCCAATGGGTCAGGGGTCAACGCCGTCTTGCGCAATCTTGGATGTTTTCGGCGTATATTACGACTTCTTAACTTACAAATACCGTGGTATACTGTCTCAGACGTTCTCGACATGCATTTTTACCGTGGGTACATGGTATGGGCTGCAGATGAAAATGTTGACCAGTCCTGTATTAACACAACCAGGAACGCTAAATCTAACACATAAAATTCAACACCATCAACTATACAGAACAAACAACATGGAAAAATATACAATAAAAAGCCCGGAGGTATAAAATCTCAGATTTTACTTGTTGAAATTTATTTTTGGGTCAGTGCTCGGACAAGTGTTGAGCTTCACATTTTTCATTGGCAGGAAAATACTGGCTGAGATGACTTTTGACTGAAATGTTTGTTGATGGTTGCCCACAGACAGCTGGGTGCGAGACAGGACACCATAGCTCAGGAGGCCCAGCGTCTTAAGGAACTGGAGGCGGCTGTCTTCTATGACTTCCGCAGGGACGTGCGCGAAAAACTCCGCAGGACAAGTGTCAGGGTAAGCACAACCAGCCTGATTCATACCACTGAACCAAACCATTTGACATTTTGTGTCTCCATTTTGTAAATCTTAACTTAAATGCATTATGTTTTTATTTGTTAGATTAGGCCATGTTGATTTGATTATATGGATGACATCCGTGCGCGCATGAATTTTTGACCGTTTCCAAAAAAAAAAGTTTTCAACTACATTGTAAATCGTTGCCAAAAAAATTGGAAGACAATTATACCAATGTCATAGAATGCCAAAATCAAAAAGACGAAAAGGTAAAGAAGTTAGAGTAGATTATTCACTGTACCATGTATGTACCATACTCTGTGTCATTTGTTCAACCTTCTTGTCCACGTAGATTTCATAATGAAAGCAACTTTTTTTGGCAAAACTTTTTTTTATTCGCATGGGCACATCAGTTTTGGGGTTCCCAGAGGATGTCATCCATATAATCAAATCAACATGACCTTACTAAAAGTTGTGCTGATTTCTGCTGAATGCTAAATATAGATTTTTAAAATGTTAAACTTTGTAAATAGTAAAGACAAATGCTAGATAATATACATTTAACACTGTACAGTGACTGTGACAATACTTTTTTCCAGCATGCCACCTCACTGAAGGACAAGTGGGGACTTGGGTACAAGCCCTCCCACCGGCGCACCAAGTCCCATGGGGCAGTGCTTGGGGCTGCCGCTAAGAAAAAGCCCCCCAGAGACAGGTTAGACTGTGTGTGGAACGTGTGTCATGTATCCTCAGCAGATTGTATGTCAAAAGTGTGACATTCTTTGGACATGTATCCAAGTTATCCCCATAACAAATTTCAGGTCATTTGGATTTAATATTAGGGCACAGGAACCAAAAATGTACATTTTTGGTCCAGAAAAAGCCCTATTTTGCAAGTATACAAGTTGATTCCTAGATACTATTCCAAGAATTTTTCAGATTTATCAATGTGTTGGTTTCATTGTCTTTGCATTGTGTATTGTTTTCTTTCGTAGTCAAGATCCAATTTATTATAAGCATATTATGTAATATGCAGATTTTTTTTCCTTTCGTATGTATTTTGTATTGCAGGAAACTTATACCATGATAATACTATGTTTTTTGCTTATGATATGATTTGATTTGTTTTGTTTTGTTTTAAAGTTTTAATTTCTTGATTTTTTTTGTCCCAATATGTTGCATTGGAATTTCTGGTAAGTTGTACAGAAAATGTCAGTCTGAGATCAGAAACTGTAGATAATCAGAAGCATTTTGAAGTATTTAATTTGTTCTGGAGATCTTTGTAAAATTTGTATAGGTTACACCAATTTTATTGCTCTGTTTACTGATGGAAAAAATTGATTATTTCATTTGCAAATAAAAAAGAGATACATTTTAACATCAAACATATGATTGAACATATAATCAAACCATTCATAGATTATGGAAGAAATTGTTTTGAAAACAAGATATTTTGCTCTAATATACACAAGTACTTAATAATCATTTCAAATTGTTATAAGTAAACCTATGATCATGTACATGTACATGACATTGTGTATATTATGCACTGCTGGAAGCTGCTTAGAGCTCAGTGCTTTAGATTGCTGGCTGTATTTGCTTTCTGGATCAAAGCAATAGAATTGGTGTTGCCTACCTTTGCCATAAAGTAGAATATTACACATAGATATAGATGCCAACTCTTCATCATGCTTATACCATAGTTTCATGTGTACGTGTCCATGCATGCTTGTGCATTGTAAATAATGTGGCAGTGTCCTTGTCTTTGTTACCACCCTTTATAGGCCACGCACCGAGGCCGTAGATGGTTTGCATGGGGAGCTTTTGGTCCCGTGTTCAACTCCCTCCACTCCTCTCAATGATTCTGTTTTCACTTCCCTTGACTCATCTGCACGCCAGTGGTGAGATGTCGTGTTTGGGAACAGTTGTCAGTGGCTGTCAACCCTTTTCATCACAGTAAAGTCTATGTTGATATCTGTGCTCTTGTAGATTTGGGCAATTTGTGGTGTGGGAGCAAAGTATCTTCCAGCCTTGAAAGCATCTGTCGGAAAAGATGTTGCTTTTAATATGTTGCCTTAGGCCTTCGCCCGCTTCATTTTTTTCTGATTTGCAAAAAAAAAAAAGATTCTGGTTCAGAATTAACTGCAAAATGCTCATATTTTGCCATGAACAGTTGAAAACAGTCCTTTTCTTCCTAGTTTTTACTGTAACAGTTATTCCATCTTTCAATGCAGTGGTTTCTTTAAAAGTTCAAAATTCATTTTGAACCATCCTGGTGTGTTGACTTCGTGGCTCCTATCATACCATTTTCGGCCATAATAGGATGCCTAGGCCTGTTTTTATTTTTTTTCGCCCGCCTGCTCCATTATTTTTCTAGAAAAATCCGTTAACCAAGAAATTAAATTGGTGTGGCCTTAAAAACCTTCTAAAACTCCACAACAGGAGAGGGATTTTGAGTCAAAATTGCTATCATGGTCTTGCCCCAGGCATTTTATCATATTAAAGAATACACTGGACTGAGTACTGCATTGCCCAAAAGCTACATGTATGTCAACTTTGTACAATGCTTTTGCTACCTTAAAAAAAATTATAACAAAATACTTTCAGAGAAACATGGTCATATAATCAACATGTCATTTATGTTGGATACCATGCTGCCATATTATTGAAGCTGGGATGAAAAGGGTTGATGTGCTTACAACTACAATGTCATAACACTACACTTAGGTGTGACACTCACTTGGCACAATGTAGAGGTTCAAAGGTCCAAGCAATGACTCGGTGAGAACACAAATTCAGCTTTCCTACCAACTCCTTACACCAATCTTTGGTATACATGACATCCATGTATGTTCAGCAGATGCATATGCCACAGTGAATGTCACTTATTTTCATCCACTAATTATTAAATGGTTTGTATTAATTTTACAACTTTTCGTGAAGTAAGTGTTTTCGTACAACCATGCAGCTCACTAGCCTTGCCATCCCCCCCCCCCCCCCATTGTGCTCCATGTATGTGTAGCAGTACTAATTGTTGACAAGCCAGCATCATAACAGTCATTACAGAATATTGTGTTTGGATCAGCAAAGACATTTATTTCATGTTAACAATTAACAATTTGGCATTGGCATATATTTGATATTATCATATACCCGGGTGACGTTGACCAATCAGAAGGCCACATTCCTTATGACACCTTAATTGCACAAATAGAGTCAAAACCGGGTCATTATTCATCCCAATCCATACATTAAACAACCCAATAATCACCCGCATATGACCTCAGGTGACCCAAATAGAACACGATTCTGTTCTAAAAAATCCAAAAATAACTTAAGATACCTACTGGTCTATAACTGATTCTTGTTCAGGTCTTCTCCACTCTCCACCACCATTGACGACCCATGCCAACTGTCGGCATATAACAGTGAGGAGGACCTCCACCCAGAACCAGCCTACAAGGTCCCCTCTCTCCCAGACAACCTGGACTCAAGTGGATCCTCAGAGAACGACGAGGAACTAGACAAACACTATCTCATAGAAACTCAGAGGTAACTTAAGATTAAGACAAGTTCTAAGACAAGTGGATCATCCATGGGAACATTATTGATAGATAACACGATTTTTATGCTTATTGTTAAAGAATGATGAATACATGTAATATGATAGCTTGAATGTGGGATGAGAGATTTTAGATTTGGCAGATTGGAGATTTTATAGAAGATTTGATAGAAACTTGGAGAGGATGTCTGTATTATACTTGTTTGAATTGCAGTTAATGACTTCTCTAGCTTTCTTTCCTTTGGCTTCAGGTTGGTAGTAAGGCCACACTGACTTAATTTTATGGATGACATCCTCTGAAGACCCCCAAACTAGTGTGCGCGGGCGAATAAAAAAAAATTCCAGCCAAAAATAAAAATGATACTAAACCATAGGAATACAAAGCTGGTATTGTGGATTTGCGACAGTGAGTACATATTATAGCGACGAATACGACAAACCGGCACATGCTGGCTTTTCGCGGAATTTATGAATCGGCGCTGTATGTATGTACCGATTTCTTGACTCGTGGAGCTTCGGTAGCCTGAGCTGGGTGCCATCCACCAGAGTTACCACCGACTCCGTATAATTTGTCGCTAACTACCATGGACTACCCAGGCCTAGACCCAGGCCAGAGGCTCGGAGGACCTGATCTTTTTTTTTGGACTCAACAGGCGAAAATCAATGCGCGCGCGGATGTCATCCATAAAATTAAGTCGGTGTGGCCTAATGAAAAAAAATTTAAAAAGTTTCAAGAACTGCTTTCCAACAACATATACTTCATCTCTTAACCCTAGACGTCTAGCCATGGATCCCTCCGTCACATCCCTGGACAGAGGCACCCCCCCTCGCAGTAACCAGTCCCCCCCTCGCAGCCAGAGCCCCCAGCAGGGGAAGTCACTGACCCCCCAGCCCTCGGTGGTGGAACAGAACATTGAGTTTGAGCTGGATGTAAAGGTGGAGATTGACAGTGGGAAATGTGTTCTTCACCCTCAGTCCTCCAATCTGGAAGATGACATGAATGGGAGCAGGTGATTTTTTCTCTATTCTGTCACATTTCTATTTCAAACAAAAAATCTAAGACCTCCGTAAATAATTTCATCAGGTTGGTAAACGAATGAATAGCAAAGTTCTTTGATCACAACCATTTATTTTTCACGCCAACGTTTCAATGACCGTCTGTCATCTTCATCAGGGCAATTCTGACTGGTTTACAGTGCACTGACGCTAAAAAATCCAAGAGTTTGATATTGCTGAATTCCAAATTTTTAGCACTAATTCTACCATGGCTGTCAAGACTATATATATCACACTCCTGCACTTTTGGGACCACATTGTAGATACTGTTCCCTGAGTGTATGTAATACTTGCATTTGGTGAGATATATATTACTAACAATGACACCTATGCAATGTTAACCAGTCAGATTTGCCTTGAGGAAGGTGACAGATAGTCACCAATACATTGGCTGAATACTAGTAAAACACTAACTGTCTTGGTTGTCTTTTTATTTGGCTGTCAAGACTGTCAGTATCTATTTATTTCAAATGCAAATGTCACAAAGCTTACTACACTCATGTACATGTAGTTCCATGTGTCTAACCGATCTCAAACCAATTTCACCAAGTAGCCAATTTCACCAAGTCGAAAAAAGCCTAAACCATAATAATGTTTACCGAAGGAAAACATTGTTTTTGCTCCATTTCTTCTTCTTCTGTTCCAAACACTAACCTCTGACCTGGCCAATGGCCTCTTTTGTTGCCGTCTGTCACCATAGTAACTGGTGTTGGGTTACACAATGTTGCAATTTCATAGTAGGTATTTAGACTCCTGTCACCATATAACAGTTACATGTATGTGAATGTGTTTGAGAAAGAATAAACAGAGCAGACCATGTCCGAAGGTAAACATTATGCATTTGCTTTGCAAATGTTACTTTTCTAGGTTTTAATTACCATTTCTCACAACAGTACCAAACCAGGAGGAAAGAACAGGAAGATGGGTATGATGTACCAGACCTCGGCCCTGGACATCACCCCGGCCACCAGTAAGAAACACCTGCTCAAGAACCAGATGTCTGGCAACCTGGCCTCGGCCAACAAGAGTCGGCTGGGACAACATCAACACGCTGGCTCCGAAGTCACCATCTTCTATCTACCTGCTGTAGACGTCAAGGTACACACATTTACTTACAATTCTGTCGTGTTGTATTGGTATAGCTGGTATAACCAGCCTTCAGCATAACACATCACCCTCTGTATCTGTATAGCCGGTATAACCGCTCTTCAGCGTAACACACCAGCTTCTGTATGTACTAGTACTATTAGTTGGTATAACCGCCCTTCGGCGTAACACCATTGTATCTATATCAAGTATAACAAATTAATATCTCAACTGTCATGTAAAAAATGAAACTTTTGCTTGCTTTATGATGGCACCAGTGAAGACTTTTCATGATTTTTCCAGGCCCACTACAACTCCAAGACCCACAGACAGGATTCCCCTGGCCCCAGCAACAGTAAGGAAGACAGCTCTCTCCAGGACCCTGCGGATGGCAAGAAGAGGGTTCCTACTGGCATGAAGAGGGCTAGTCTGTACGCCATGCTGGCTCTACAGTCTCTCCCACAAGTAAGTACTTTCAGATTAGGCCACACCAAGAAATTTTAATGGATGACGTCCTCTGGAGACCCTACATCTATATATGTAACTTAAAGAGTGCTAAAAAAAACAATTTTTTGTGGTGATGTCTTTATTGATTTTGCAAATTCATGAAAATGTGAATGACTGCTGTACCATACAGAATTGTTTCAACTGCAAATTTAAAATACTCATTATAAAATGCCAAAAAGCAGTTACTCAAGATAATACAATACGCCTGCTTTTTGGCGTATCGTATTTACTGGATGACTAACCTTCATTGACGTACTCATTATAAAAGCCTCTGTTTTTCTTCCCAGTGTTGTGAAAGGTAAATGAATTTACAAGACATATTGAAGATCATATGATTATGGAACCGTCAATGTTACAATGACAGGTTATGTTTGTTACAGGAAACAGTGGTCAGCCCCTGCCTGCTGGACTTCCTGGAGCAGACACTGGACGTGCTGCCGGCCTCACCAACTGACCCCAGGATCGCCGACATGACTGCAAGTGCTCGAACAGGTGAACACGTTCAACGATCGTTGTTTTATCACACATGGTCTTTGTTAGTGTGGCATTATGTAAGATTTAAGAGCATGACTTTTATATGCCTTGACAGCAAGAATTGTTGATACTGTTCATGATTGTCCTCCAGTACCCAGCAGCCATTTGAACTAATAATATTGTTACGGCCAGCAAGGCTGGATCCATTGTATCATATGGAAGATAACCTCAGGACTTATAAAATTTTGCCAGTACAAATGTACTGAATATTTTGGAAAATCTTCAATTATGCAATAGTGCTTTGCAAAGATGAATACCAAACTGAGTACAAAAGCGAATCTTTATTGACAAAAATGTTGCAATGTAAATACAGTTAAACTTGTCTATAATGACCGCTCATAATCAAGGGATTTTAAGAAAATAGGCAGGTGGTGTTTAGTGACAGGAGTCTTACATGGTCATTTTTTAGGTGCAGTGGTAAAAATAATCCAAAGGACCAGCAGAAAGTAGCCACAACAGTCAGGTGGTCGTTATGAAGAAGCAGTCACTAGTATGGGTTTGACTTAACTTCAGAAAACTAACCTGTTCTGTTCTTTGTGTTGTACGACCAGCTATGGACAGTATGTTTCCTCTGGACCTGGACACGTCCAGCACCTCTCTGGGTACCAGCTATGGCTCCCCCTACACGTCCTTCCCCGTGGACGTCATCGTGTGTGTGCGTGTCCAGCCCTCCATCATCCGCTTCAACTGCCTGCCCCTGTCCCGCGTGGAGTGTCTGTTACAGGTCCCTCTTCTCGACCTGGTCTTCTCCTCCATGACAGCCGGATTCGAGATCCGGGAAGATGACACGGATGCCGCAAAGGCACAGCCGCCGTTGCTGAAGAGAAAAAGTATGTATGGCAGGGCTCTAACCAGCACCCGTTTTTCCATCAATTGAAGGAACTTTAAATTTGTGGTGTATGACGAAAAAAATTTGAAAACCAGTCCGTCAACCCTGATGGATAAAATCTGTAAAACGTAAAATATGTAAAAACCACAACCACCGTCTCAACCCATGATTTGCCTCTCAAAATGTGGAAAATTGCATTTTTGAAATCTTGAAAATCCTAAATTTGTCCCTGAACCCCCTAGATTGTGAGCATTCTCTCCCCATGCATGGCGAGAGCAGACATTTACTGCATGAGGCCGACGATGCCCAATGGCATTGTTTTCTTCAATGTGACATTTATTTTTTTGGTAAGTCCGGAACTGGTTCCAGACGTTCATTTTTTCTTGGACTTGAACCCAAACATTTTTACAAGTCAACTAGACTGGAAAGGATCAGCAGACCATGACCTTGTCACTAACAAGCAACTTCTAGATGCACTCCACATGTACATTGCATCTACCAAAAGATTTACTTCCAGCTTCCATCTTTTTAACAGATATGTTTATCCCTAATGTTTATCGATTTAATTCTAGTTACCCTTGTATTTCTTATATCTAATTTTTTATTGTAAATTGATCGACAATGTACTTAATATGTATGTGTCTATTGTGTATATTTGTATATGATGTCGCAATATCAGCTATCAGCTGCCTGGCGGCAACATTGTATTGCCATATTGCAATTTCAAATAAATAAATAAATAGTCTGGAAATAGTACATGCTATACAGCGCTAACCATTAGTGTGGCCTCAACATAAATCCACAAAAATTTTCCCCTCACAGGCAGCCAGAGACAAGTGACGTTCCAGCGCCCGCGAGGCTGGAGCAACCTCAGCTGTAACTCCACCGACAGCGACCACCAGGAGGCCGGCGTGGCGGGACGCGGCGGGCTTAACTTCACCGCCGGTATGTCGGACTTCTCGCTCTTCATCTTCCACCCGTACGGCGGGCAGCAGAAGAAACACGCAGGCATGGGAACACCCATGGAGGGGGTCACAACAGGTGAAGTCTCGCAGCTTATCGGCAGAATGTACTGCGCCTGCATGAAACCATCATGATTTTTTTACGTATTTTGTTGGCTATTTGGTCAACGTTGTTTCAGAATTTTGCCTGATGCAGACGATAACATTTGGAAACTACAGACGGAGTGTTAATACGACCTTACATATAAGATGTTCTGCCGAAGTTATATGCGCAATACGGGTTTATCGCAGGTGCGGTACGTTCTGCCGACGTGCTAAGTTTGGCCAGTGTCACTGACGAAACGAAGGGCCACACTGACTTAATTCTATGGATGACATCCTCAGAAGACACCCAAACTAGTGCGTGTGGGCAAATAAAACAAAATTTCAGCCAAAGAAAAATGGTCTCTTTAACTTTCTCCCTGCTGACTAACCAACCTATAATCAGTACAAATTTGGTGCCAACTGGCTGCCTTAGCAGGCTTAAGGTTAACTATTTGTACCTAAATACAGTAACTTATAGAAAAGCTTTACAGTAGAAAACATGTCTCCAAAGCTGACCTTTTCAAAAATCTATTAGACCAATTTGGTTCAGTTTGGTGAAGATGAATTTGGGCTGTAGAGAGATAAGAAAATTGGTGTTTATAATCAGTAATGATAACTATGTACAAGGTGAAGGGACCTCATATCGTAACCACGAGCTCACTTTTAAACTTGAAGATTCGCCATTGGATGCAGGACCATCCGCCACGGGGCGTAAGGATTCACTAAGCCTCAATGTGGAGTTTATCAAGGTGAACCTGAGTCGGAGTAAGCGAGCGGCGCCGACCGCGGACCCCGGTCTCCACGCCAGCGGCAGTATGAGCAGCGGACGACTACGAGACCTGATGTCCACACCGTCGGTTCAGCTTCAGCAGACACAGGACCCCGCAAATGTACACATCGACATATCTGGTACGTGGACAGCTCTGATCATGAATGGTTGCCATTGATCTGTATATATTATTGTTGCACAAAATAACACTTTTATCAGTAAATTCAAAAACTCGTATTTCCCCAGAACAATGATCGTAGACTGGAACTCGTTGCCACCAAGCACAGTAGGGGCATCATCACTTGCAATTAAATGTGCAAAAATTGAGTGTAACAAGTCGTTTGGTGTGATAACGCAAGGTTACCAGTTTACGTGCAGGACCAGTTTACGGTCAGTTAGTGACACGGCCACACTTCGAGATGTACCAGCCAAAAATCAACGGTCGTGAGCAACAAAGAATAACATGAATATAATCCTTATATGTGTCTTTTATTTATTCACTGGATGGGAATAAGTTTGCATTCAGCGACACAGCAGAGTATCTTCCGATATGACGGGACAGCAAGGTAACATGGACTTGGACGCATGTTGTGTTTTTCACATAATACAATACTCAACATTTCGTCGATTTTTTAAAATCCCAAGAATGCTAGGAAATTGTAACAATAGCTGGCATCAAACCTGGCTTTCTTATTTCAATCATCCATGGTGTTCTGAGGTATGAAACTTTCAAACACCTTGATATAAATGAGCAAAAGTACAGCGACAGTTGTCGCCGACTAGCGTTTTTCGAACGCCATTTTAATCATCATCATCGTTACATCAGGTGACGTCACTGTTTTGAACTGCAGAAAGGTTTGTAAAAGTCGCACTGTGGCGCTGTTGCCCATTAATTTATGCAAAAATGCCAAAATGGCTTCCTGCGTCCGCAGCGAAAAGTTTGCTCGGGTTTTCACGACGTTCCGTTTTGTCTGGAGGGGCATAGACGCTTGTAATCTATTGCAACGGTTTTATGGAACATCTTGGGCCATTATGTCACGTTCTACTGAGGGAAAAATGCAGGTCCAGCCTCATTTAGCACCACAGCGCTACTGCATGGGACAGTGGGCTACACACTGACATTTTACTGTGGTTTGTTGTTGACCACTTCGGTATTTTTTTGCAGAAGGTGTTTGTTTATTTGCGCTTATAAGTAGAGCACTACAAGGACAAAGGTCCAAGTGACCGTTAATTGGTCACCCTAGAGCAATTCTCCACTGTTAACTACTAAATAAATAAAAGCTGGCACGGCACAAAAAACGCAGGGAAGAAATGACACGGCACACACTTTTATAACCGACAAACTACTGTTTCTTCACATGGGTTAAATATTTAGTTCTGCCCATGCGTTTTCACAAAAAATGGAATTTTCCATAATTCGACCGTAAACTGGTAACCTTGCGTTATAGCTAGCTGCCGCTGCGCCGCGTGCCTGCGAAGCTTGTGTATTACGCAGAAGGGCGGTTATACCGGCTATACAGATACAGATACAGATAGTAATTTGTGTCTTAATTTTATAATGTTGTGACCTTTAAATGTTTAGTAATCTTTTGAGCATGATAGTTGTATATAACAGCATCCAGATTAATTCTAGACTTTCAGTTTAATTCGTTAACAACATTAGCCCATCTCTCTTCTCTCTTCCTCTGAGTGACCGCTATCGTCATGCCGATCATTCTGTCACTAGGGGAGAGGTCACCAGTCAAGAGTTCAAAACAATTTAGAGGCCCTTGCCACAAATGTTTCAGTATTTGTGGCCTCCACTGTAGTCTGAGGTAGAGAGTTCCAATCTTTAACTGTCCGTGGCAGGAAAGATGGTGCTCTATACTGAGTCCTGCCCCAGAGTTGTGCAATCTGTTGGTCATGCCCCCGTCTCTCACGTCGTGGGGCAGGATGGATTTTGCCCCTGAGCCCATCTGTACAGACCTTGTTGTGTTGAATTTTGTACAGCATGGCGAGCCGTGCAGTCTTCCGACGTGCTTGGAGACTGGGCCAGTTAAGTTCCTCTAGCATCTCTGTGGGGCTTGAGGTGTGCCTATACCGTCTTAACACAAAACGAGCTGCCCTCCGTTGAACTGCCTCTAGTCTGTCAATGTCTTGTTGGATATGAGGGTCCCATACAGTGGCCGCATATTCTAGTATGGGGCGTATGTAGGTCTTGTAGGCCATCTCTTTAATACCTCTAGAACTGATCTTCAAGTTTCTCTTCAAGAAGCCCAAGGACTTGTTGGCGCCATTACACATGGCGTTACCAGTTCAGATATAAAAGGTCACCAAGTTTCGTAAACAACCGTTGGATTCCGCAAAAAAGCAATCAAATCAACCTCGTCTCCAAAAGTTGAAAGTAACGTAGTTGTTTGAAAAAAAAACCCTGCTAGCTTAGAGTCCGTGCGCAAATGCCATCATGAAAACTCTGCTCTGTGTTTTTGCTGCTGCTAACTAGTCTACGCTCAGTGTTTTATCTCAAAGAACACGCTGCACAGGTTACGTGGTTTATATCAATCTGGCAATGCGACGTCCTTAACGTAACGTAACA